AGTGAGTGGACATATGGCGTATCTTTATTCGCTCACACTGAATTTTCGTAGTGTGCTCTACTGTAACGTATAAATGGGCGATAGGCTTAAGGCTCAATCAACATTATTTATCAAAAGAAATTTAATTTTTTTTTATAATTAATAACTTAAATATATTACTTATGTTCTAATGTTTTAAATATAAGTATATTAATACCCAGAAACATAAATTACTTTTCTATATAATTGTCACTTATTTGCCAATTATCCTAGTGAAATCTGGTCTTAGTAATTTTAATATTTGTATTAATATCTAATGATTGATTTTTGCACCATTATAATGTCGTTGTCAACATATTTTTATGAGTGAAGCTTCTTTTGTTTTTCATCTGTTATACATAAGTGTAGATAAATACATCTTTGTTAATGACTGAACAAAAATAATCTAAGGGGAATAGTTTACCTACTTAATTAGATAAAATATGACAATTGTGTATTTTTATAAGTAAATTTTTAAACATTTTAAATACTTTCTCTACTATGTGGTTGTGTTTTTATTATTATTCATTGTTATTTTTGAATACATATTTTTGTTTCCAGTTCTGTTTTATTTATTGTTGTTAACCCTCTGAAAATATCATAGGTTCCCGCAGAGTCTGGATAGAGATGACGTATATTTTGTTTACCTTATACATTTATGGTTTTCTGTTCGATAAAATCGGATTAAAAGCACAGTTTGTTCCTACAGTTCCATTTTGATGTGATTCTAACTCATACATGGATTTTGGAAACTAACAAGTCAGTTTATTCATCCAATGGGCCAATGACTTGTACTTGTTGGGACGCAAAATGTAATAGACATGGTCAAACCAACCATATTTAGGTGAATAAGTATTTTAAACATTATTTAAAATGCAACATAAAACATTTTTTTAGCCGTTTCAAACGAACTAACAAAGTATGTTTTTTAAACAATGAGATGTCTATTTTTATTTGAAGTATTTACATGAAAGGAAACGTACACAATACAAAAATCAAAAGTATTTACTTCAATTGAAAGAAATACAAAACCATGACAGTAACAAAGAGCACAAACAAATTTAACATAGCTGCAAATTTGATATAATTTTCACTTCAATATTTAAGATCTAAAGCTCATTTTGCAGCCACTTATGACTGTGATAAAGTAATTAATTGTTAATTAACATTATATTTCGCATATTTGTTTTCCAAAATATAAACACACTAGTATATTTTCGGTATACGATTGTGTCCACAACGTTTAAAGAGATAACTTTTTTCCCATCGGTATGCCGTCGAGCCAGTCTGCGAATCATAATTAGTTGTGGGAGATCGATTATTTTTGGGGATGGATACAATTTTTCTATGTAACCTATAAACTGTAAATGTTGGAGGGGAGGGAAGTTATATTTTGGTAAACAAATATGCTCATATAATTTGAATTCAACTTCCTTAAGGTAAGTCGTTTAATCCATTAATTATATTTCGCATATTTGTTTTCCAAAATATAAACGCACTGTAGATGTTTAGAGAACCTTGCGATCTCCAAGAAAGTGTTTATAGTCCATACAGTACGAAAAAGAAGTAAACAATCTTTGTACTTCTTGTTATTTTTATTGTATAACTGCAAATATAATAACCTAATATAATAAGTAATAACAAATATTATAACTAAATATAATAGCACTTAATAATTTATATATAAAAAAAAAACAAAATATTATATGGATAATTATTATTAAACGCAATATTAAAAAAAAAACAACTTTTTTTCTATTTACTTTTTAAAGAAAATATTGCATTATAAAAATTGTGTATTACATTTCTATGGTAAAATTTATTAAATATATACATTTGATTTTTCTGTCCAACCTGCCGATTTTCTTATTGCTTCTATGTCAATGCCAGGGCGTGCGGCGGCGGAAGTTGAAGCGTGACGAGTAGAATGACATTTGAAAATGTTTATGGGTGCTATGATTGAACGTTTACGTTATCCGTAACGTACATGTTAGACCGAATTTTAAAAGTAACGAGGCAAGTTCGTATGATGAGGTTAGCTATGATCTCGAGACAGGAATGAAACTTCCTACCGAGGTTTGTATACTATTTTATTTACAACCATCATATTTCGATCAAAGTTAATAAATCTCTGTTTTGTTCTGAACATACCTAAAATATTACATTTAACGACAAATTACCAAGCGCGCGGTTTTCTCAGAATAATCAAGTAGGTAAATATATTGTTACTGTGATTAAGGGGTAAACAACTGTGACCAATATAAATAAATGCCAGATATTAATTTCGCGAATAATAAATATCAATAAGTAGTTTGTTCTATTTTAGATCATTGTTGTTTTTTATTGTTTGCCAATGTGTATTCTTACAGAGAAATGATACGCCACTGAACAAGAGGGAATTACCTTCCCCCTTGTGCCCGCTTCCTCACTTCCTCAACAGATGTTGCGAACACAACCACAGAAGAAATATGTGACACAACATTCGCTACAAACTCCCCAGACAGCACACCAAATCCTTTGGATATCTACTGAACATCCCAATATCCACTGAATGTCCAGTCCATGGTGGATATCTATTTTATATCCATGAAATGTAATTTATAGACATGCAAATGTCCATAAATAATTGTAATTACATAGCAAATTATTAAAAAATTACGCCATTGTACTCGCCATTGTGGCTAATAGTACCGTTGAGATATTTAAAATTAATTTTTTTTAAGGTGTATTCAATATCCCATGGACATCCACTATAAATATATCTAAGCGCAGACGCAAACCATCGTGGATATCTACTAGATGTAATTTTTGATTTTGCTTCCTAAGTATAGATGGCGATACCACTTTCGTATCTACTCATGCTTAACCCGCCGTAATTGAGTTTGATCGACATTGTTTCACAAACAGACTTCATTAGAGACTGAAGTCGAGAAGTAAGTTCCATTTATTGCTGAAGATTCCTAATAAGGATGATTTTCTCCTTAGTAGGCAAAATCAAAGGCAGATTGTTGGGAATATTTTTTACCTCTATTTTCTTTCGACGTTATTCAATAACCATTGGTTACTTATGAACCTCTACTAAAAATAATTATAAAATATTTATCTGAATTTCTATATCCTGGGATATAGACGGACATTTGGTTGGATATCCACAAAATATATTCTATGGATCTATCTGGGATTTCTTGTATTGTCTGGAGATACTCATTAGATATTTTGCTGAATATCCATAGGATATCTTCTATATTCTGGATATAGACGGACATTTGGATATCCATATTAGTTCCACGGAATATTTCTGATATCCTGTGGATATATTGGATATCCACAAAATATATTCTGTGGATATCTCTGGGATTTGGTGTGCTGTCTGGGTCGGTTCACGCTCCTCTAGTAGTAATTGCTCGGTGGCAAAAATAACAAAGTTTCTTAACCTGACTTTTTCATTACTATTTGACTGTTATTAAAAAGCATACAATTTGTATTCATATATTCAAAATAAATATTAAATTATGGCGATTTTTAACTAAACACATCGAAAAAAACTCAAAAAAATAATACAAACTTAGACTAATAACATCACTAGATGCGTTTTTGTCAAGGGAAGCACGTACTATGTTGTTTTTGCCAAGAGTCCACCATTTAAAGTCACGTGATTTGCATTGCCTAATTGGAATAATTCACAAGCTTTAAATGAAATCTTTTTACCAAAATCAACCTTATTACAAGCCTGCCAAGTAAACAAAACATCCACACGAAAAACTAAAAACAGCTACGATTTTTTTATAACTGATAAGTTGTTTAATAACTATTTAAGTGAATATCTCGGATCAATCAAATGCTGAATCACGTGATCAAAATTTACTACATCTCAGATGCATCCGATGTGGATTCTCAAACGCAGCATAAATTAACGTTTGATCCAAAGATGTTTCTAAAGTAGGCCATGAGCGATGACCGACAAAGATATATATACAGAGCCGTGAACCGTAATAACTACACACGCCCCTGAATGAGATCCCAACTTTAATTTTAAAATGCAGAAGAGTTGTAACGTTCGACTATAAAGACTAGAGAGAAGGAGGCGAATCAGCAATGGTCAAATTTAAAATTTGTCCTTTTTATAAAGTTTGCGAAATTGACTGTAGTTGGCAGGTCGAACGTTAGCGCTGTCAATTTTCTATGTAAGTCAATGTAATATGAATTGTTTTTTTTTTAATTGGTGAAAAGAATCAAAATAATGTGAAAAAAAGTACCTGAGTACAAGTAACATGAGTAACAAAAGCAAGATTTACTTCGTTCCAGATTGTAAAACGAGATACAAATCAGAGTTTTATTGTTAGATGAAGAGTTACTGTTATTTTTTTTTTTTTTGTTGAACCCCAATTTTGTCATTGTAAATGTTTTGTATAGGATCCTAAACGCTTAGAACAGTGACAGCATATATATCGTTCCTAAGGCCGATAAAGCACTTATTAGAGATGATGCTATTCTACACTCTTTAGAAGACATTTCCAAATATTATAAGACTCTTTTTACTGATGATACTGAGGGCGGCCGAAATTAAAGGATGAGGCAATACGTACATTCCCAAATCTCCCTTTATGCTTGTATTATAACAATAAGAAATTTGTTAACTGTGTTTTATTTAGGTTTAATTCAAAAAAGTTTGCCACAAAATTGTATTTACCAAATTTCACCATTTAACAAATTTTTTCGAATTTGGTCTCATTTGTAATTTATATAGATAAAATTAAATAATTTATCAATAAAAAAATGCAAGACTTATTTAGAAATAAGTACAACAGTATGTTATGTGCTTTATTTAGCAATAAACAAGTTTATTTTTATTATTTTCACAAAATTATGTAAAATTCTCATAAGAAGCCATGTGTTTCTAACAGCGTTAGCAGCACCAGCGTACATGCGGTGAATTATAAAAGCTCAATTGGTGTTCGTTTTTAGAACCGTATTCCGAGTATGTCGATTCGCCTCCTTACCTCTCCTCTAGTCTTCATACGTTCGCCATACGTGATTTTTTTCATTACCTACTTCGTTCCTATTTGGCAACATTATATAAGATTTGACACAACACATTTTCCATTACATTTTATTTTCAACGCGCACACGTCACTGTTCCAGCAGGAAAACACTAAACCATTCCTACTCTTGTTATTGAAGGTCTTTGAACAATTTTAAGAGCTTCTTCTTTTTTTGTGAAGTGAGGTTAGGTTATTATTTTTTAATTTTCTTTCAATCAAAAACTGATTTTCGAAGATTGTGCCATCATAATATAATCATAATAACTGCTATTTAGATATAAAATCATTATCCTAGCCTGATAACATTTAACCTTGAGCAAACGGGCAAGCAAGTTCCGCAAGTATTTGCAATTTCTACAAGTCATTTCTGTGAATAGTATTTCAACTTCAACCATTCAGTGTAGATTGAAAGTTAACAAATTGATCAAGGTAATTTAATCTATTCTTTCTAAGTAATATGTAATTCTTATTAAAATCTAAAAACCGGTTTTTTATTGTATCCAGATGGCACTTACAGAGGAATCCTCAAACAAAATTTTCGGAGGATATCAAAAAATATTTTCTCATGATTCAGAAGAAGTGGGTTGCAAAATGAGGTTTGGTGTTTATTTGCCACCACAAGTGGAAGAAAATAAGAAGTTACCCGTTATTTATTGGCTTTCTGGTTTAACTTGTAGTGAAGCTAATTTTGTTGAAAAATCAGGAGCTCAAAGGTATGCCTCATGAAACTTTGATTTTTCTGCTGTTATGAAAGGGAAAGTGTTATTAATAAAAACCAAAATAATAGTTTTTAAAATAGTTTTGAGCCAACTATACCCAACTTTTTTTTTAACAGATATCTACAAATCATTATAGATCATCCCAATACTGAATATTTTTTAAATAAACTATTTTATTATTAAAGCTAAAAACTACTTTCAGATATGCAGCAGAATATGGTATAATAATTGTTAATCCAGATACTTCTCCAAGAGGCCTAAATATTCCTGGCGATTCTGAAAATTGGGATTTTGGAGTTGGAGCAGGGTTTTATGTAAATGCCACCAAAGAACCATGGAAAAAAAATTACAGAATGTTTAGTTATATTACCTCAGAATTACCAAAACTTATCAATAATAATTTCCCTGCAGCAGAGGGACTGCAGTCTATAATGGGTCATAGGTAAAACAATTCGCACTTGTAATTAGATTACATTTAAATTCAATGCAAATTAATTTGGCTACACTTTTTGTTGAATTTGATATATACCATACTTAAATTTATATAATAATTTACTGAAATGTTATAAGTATCATTATTTTAAATTTGGTTGATGATTTTTGGTCAAAGAATCAGTTTCATGAATGAAACTCTTATTTACATGACATAAAAATGAGTTACAATGTATACTAGTAGTAGTGGTAAACCCTGTTTTTTTATTTTATTGTCTAAACCAGTGGTTCCCAGGCGGGGAGGGGGGCGAAGCAATAATATAGCAACTCTTCATAATAGATTAGATTAGTGAATTGTGATTCCAAATGTATTTTTTTTTTTTCTAATAAATAAGTTTTATTTTTATTGTAGTAAAAGTAGTTTCCGTTTCTATAATTGGAGGACGTCTTTAACATATTTTTATTTCAAAAAGGGGGTGTCAGAAAAAAGTTGGGGAACCACTGGTCTAAACAATAGATATTTTTTTTATGAAAATAAAATATATTTTGGAGATGTCAAAGACTTAATCTCAAGTGGAATTCAAATTAAAGGATTAAAAGAATTCTTACACCTTTAATTTACATATGTATTGCATTTGTAAATCATTCAGCACTTGAAATGTTACATAGGTGATTACCAAAATTAATAACTGGTAAAAATTTGAGTAAACGTTCCATCTAATTTTAAAGCTATTATGTTGTCCCACTAATGTTAACAACTCTTTCATATTATCTTGTTATGGTGAGTTTTTGTTTTTCTCTTTTCACTGTTTCAGTTAATTTTTATCATCAGGGCTCTGTAATGTACCAGAAAAAGTGATGGTTCTTTTAACATGTTGTAATCTTTTAAAACTTCTCTAGCATGGGTGGACATGGTGCCTTGATATCTGCATTAAAAAATCCAGGAATGTACAAATCTGTATCTGCTTTCGCCCCCATTTGCAATCCTTCAGTTTGCCCTTGGGGAATAAAATCTTTTACAGGGTACTTGGGATCTGAAGAAGCTTCATCGTGGTCCGAATGGGATGCAACCCAGTTGGTTAAAAAATATAATGGACCAACATTAGAATTGCTAATCGATCAGGTCAGTGTTGTTTATTGATTTAGTTTTAATATAGATAAAAATATATTTTTGATGGTCTAGACTTTCACAATTTGTTTAAAATTTTTAGGGTTTGGAAGATAATTTCTTAAAAAGTGGACAACTTTTACCAGAAAACTTAATTGAATCTTGCACATCTTCAAAAGTTCCCGCAATTTTGAAAAAACGAGAAGGCTATAACCACAGTTACTACTATATAGCTAGTTTTATTGGAGAACACATTAAATATCATGCAGAGCATTTATTGTCAAAAAAATTATAAATTGATTGTTATATATGTACTATTTTTAAAATTGTTTAAAACAATTCATAAATAAAATATTTTATTTTATGGTTAACAGCTTATAATTTAACTAATTTTTAATTAGGAAATCAACATTTCTATATACAACAAATTTGAAAGAAGAATGATTAATTTCATATGAATTATGCCAATCAAATGTTTAGAATACTTCATTGTTGTTTAACAATAATATATACCCAAGATTACTTATATTTGGTAAATTACAATACTTTTATTTTGAAGTACTATGACTGTAAATTATTTTAAACCTAACAATTGAACACAGTTTTTCCCTGTCCCCTGCCTCAACCACCGAAAATATAAACGAACTTAAAATACATAAGATAGATGTCCATTCTTGTTGATTACTATGACAATTTTTAAAAAAATGTATACTTGAAAAGGCATTTACACTGCATTATAATTATAACAAAACTTTTGGTTAGCCCCTTTATATAAATTTTACTTTTCAATTTTGATTAAAAACCATAAAAATTTGAAACTTTATATATTGAAGCAAAAAGCTTGTCCAATTCTACAAAAGAAGTAACTTTTAAAATAAAAATCATGAATTGACATTAAAATAAGACTGTAAAACAAAAAAAGGATAGTATACATCTTAAATTCAATCCTTACTATTTTGTATTTATTTTCTATACCAAAACATTAGTAAATTTCCCAAATTTGAAACAAACTAAAATATGAATATCAATAAATGTATTTATAAAATGAATAGTGCTTGGCATTAAATAAAATATATTAAAAAATTATATATACAACTTCCAAGATATACCTAAACAAAATTAATATTATTTTATTGAACCTCTCATTTGATGCCAATATTGAAGGACAGGTTCTCTCTTTTGCCAGATCTGCTTCTGACCCCACATTGCCCAAAATCTGAAAAGAAAAACCAATTAGATTTTATCCAACTCAGCACTTTTTCCATAAACTCAAAGTTTCTGCAACAATAATGTACGATTGACACAATAAAACACTTTAGTCAAATCACAAAATATCTTCAGTACAGGAAGTACAGGTACATAAAAATTAATTGTAGAATAAGTTCAAGATAAGAAAATATTGTAACTAGCAACACGCGGGCGGGCAGGGCGATCTAGTCCTGCTAATCGGCACTGGTGCTCGTGACAAAAAAAGATATCAAACTATCAATTTCAAGAGTTTTGTGTCACGTTTTCTACTTGCTTCTTGATTAAAACTTTTGTATTTTAATTATTATTTAAAGATTTATTTTAAGAAACGGAGACAATTCGTAAGAGGTGTTATAGTTAAATTATATGTTGGCATTCCCTTTTACTTCCTTTGGATGTCCATGTGGAATCCAAACTGTAAAAATCACTTCTCAATGTGGCATGCTTTCTTTTATGTTTTGTGCTTCCAGTTCAGTGTCAAAACTAGTTCCAACATTTATCGCTTACTTCAAATAGACAGAATGTAAACAGAACTTACTGGACACTTTTATTGTTACTTTTATTACATTTGCAAAGATGAAGTTATTTCGATATGTTGATTATCTGGCAATATCACTTGATAATGGACTTTTTGTTAGTTTGTCATCATCTACCACATGTCCTAAATTGTTTTAATTTTTACCAATGACATTTAAAAGTTCTTTTGCAATGATAACATGTCACATAGCCATGGGAAAATTCTATTCCTATAAACTTTATACCTAATATTATTTTTTAAATCTTTGAAAACAGGAACTTACATTCCAAAAGCGGCCCCTCCTAAATGAGCAGCATGATCGAAGAATTTCCATCCTAGCAATACCCCAGCAGTATCAAGACCAATAATGAATTTAATAGCCTAAAATTGCATAAATCAAATATAAAATAAAAACTATTATTCAAGCAATAACTCACCGCCCCAGCTGAGAAAGTAAATACTGGCAACAAAATTATTCCTAATCTTGTATCTGGGTATTGTGTGCAAACATATCCCAAAACTGCCATTATTGCTCCAGACTATAATAGTGAAATAAGACATACTACACTCAATTTTGTAATGAATGCAAACAAGCTATTGGTGGGCATTTTATATGCTCTAGATATTGAATTAAATGCATAAGAAACGAATACTTACAGCTCCTAATGAAAGGCCTGGTTGTTTTGTAATAATTTTATACATATAACTTGTAAAACTAGATACAACACCAGCAGTCATATATAAGGCTAAAAATTGTTCTTTTCCAAGGCTGTGAACAGCACCTAGAAATTTAAAACAATATATATAGATTTTTGCAATTATAAACATATTCCAATTTTTACCTGTACTAAAACTGTGAAGAACATACATATTGGCTAGAAGATGTAACCCTGAATAATGACTAAATGTTGATAGAACCATAGGTACAAATACATTTCGGCTAGCTGGATTTGAACAAAAATATTTCAACATATATGGTTGGAATTTTGGTACTCTCCATGCTAGGAATACAAGTATATTTAAAGCACATATTGGTGCAAAAATACGTTCTCCTTCTGTAAGACCAGACCACCAAGCTTTAACTTCTTTAAATAAATAATTCTGGAAAATAATATTTTTCTTTACCAAAAACCATACATACATGAATTCTAATTTTGTTTTTAAATGAAATTATGTTCATTATATACTGATAAAATGAGGCACATGTAAATTGAATATTATGGATTGGATTCACAGTTTCATATTTAATGGAACACAATTTGTCAAAATTAATAATTTTGTGTCACATGCAATTATATATTCTTCCCTACATTAATTTTTTAATCAATTAAAATATTTTCAATTTTACAATGACTTCAAACTGTTTAACCATTTCGCTCATTCTTTTTTTTTGTTAATCTTTTTTATGTTGACTTGATTTTTTTTTCTATATTTTGTTCTATGTAGAATTGTTAGCGTTTCCCATTAACACATTAGGAATAGCACTGTTAATTGGAACCAAATGATGAATGGTCCAATAGGGAATCGTATATAATATATCCCATATACCTACAGACATTTCTGGTAGTAATATTTATAATAAGTAATATAATCATGATACACTTTCATTTGGTAAAAGAAAAATGTATTACTGTTGAATGCACCCTGTCATCGATGTGCTTCTTGAAAAATTTCATAGGTCTTCTTAACACATTTTTAGCATGTGCTCTCATATTTTCGTATTCCCAAATTGCTGATGTAATAAAGCATGCTCCTGAAAACTATACATTTGTTAATATTGGATAAAATGATTAAGAGAAAACTACATACTGCAACTGTAAATACAAAAGGCTTTAGTAGATTTTTTGCATTTAGATTACTGGAGTTAACATTCATATTTGTAAAAGGAGTAGCTAAACTATCTGGGTTTACTTTTGGCTCAACATTATTTCTACTTTTTCTAAAATGCCTCACATTTTTTAAAGTGGGATTTCGATAAAGTAAATTTTCTTTTGAGCTGAAAAAAAATATGAATAATTTTTTGTCAATTTATTTTAACGTATACATACCAAAAATTTGAAAATTTAAGCATTCGACTGAGAGCCATTATACACGGCAAAATAAAGTTAAATATATTTATTTACTACTTCTCATATTTTGTTAAACTTTATTAATTTTTTTTACTTGAGGTTATGATTCAAAATTTGACACACACATAAGCACAGAACACTCTCACATAAGTCACAAATCCACAGAAAACAAATTTCAAATTTTATGACATGAAAAGAACCATGGCAGAAGAGCATTGCCAACAATTAATCGCCAAAAATCACTATGTATGTATGTCACATACCCATGGGCGTACCCAAGAGGGGCAGCTGTCCCTTGGATCCCAGTTTGGGCAAAAACAACAAATTTTGTTAAGAGCCGATTCTACCGTTGTGTTAAACGAAATTTTAATTATTAAGCGAAGATTAAAATGTAATTTTAAACCTAGATTATTTTTTAACTCTAGCGGTGGATTGAATCTAACTGACTTCCATCAAAATGACACTGATATGGCAACCTGTGTGAGCCTGGCACATACTTTGATTTGTCTGGTCGATTTGACAGGGTTAATAATAAGATAGTTTATATAGAATATAGATTAATCACTTGTAATATATTTTTTCTACGCCTATGTCAGTAAACGTTAAAAATCGCACTATCAACATTTCTTGTAAATGACATTTAACAATAACCTGCACGTAATGAGATCTCACAACATACATGTGCGTTTTGATAAAAAAAACTTAAATTTCTTGGTTTAATCAAATTGCAATCAAATTTTTGTCTACGTACGACTTTATTTAGTCTATTCGCATAAATTTAGTGTACAAATAAAGTACCAAGAGGTTAAATTTTACTATTGCTGGTAAAGTTACTGTTATAAAGATGTTCATAGATCATTTCAAATTTTATGTGTTTGGTAAACTACAAGTTATTTTTGTGTTAAAAAAAAAATGGTTGGCAATTTTGAAATCATATATGCTATTGTAACTGTAGTTGCTATAGGGGGGCTTATAACATATGCGCGTTATATCAACAGGTTAGTGCGCAACACATCCGCGCATATCAGTCCGTTTTACAATAATAAAATGATATTTAAATTTAAAGTACACTGAATAATTGAATAATTCAAATATATTTCGCTTAATAACAAAAGTAATACACGGTAAGTATTGTTTTAAAATTATATATTTATATAAATACTACAATTATTTGAAAAACATGAATTAATCAATTATTTGTACAATGTAAATCTGACTTTGGGATTGTCACCCGTTCGAACCGATACAATAACAAAACTGAACAAAACAATATGGTTATGGTTGCTGAATAAAACGTGGTAAGTACTTTTACTTTTATTTAATTTTAGTTTTAGTTAAACATGTTAAATTTAAAATTAAGCAAAGATATTTTGATGTTTTAACATGTGTTTAGGAGGTCCTGTTCGTAATAAATTCATAATATCTAATTGTAATAGCGTTGTTTGTATAAAGGTAAATAGTACAATTTATTGTCCAATTTATGCTGTACATTTTAAGAACATATATTTTTTATTTCCTTCCGATATTAAGGAACTAAATGATGCCGCATAAACTTCATCATTCCACTTGCGAAAAACCATTTATAGGTTACAAGACTGTAAATTGGCTTTACCTTTGGTACCCTTGAAAGCTAAATTAACAGTAAAGAGTAATACTAAAGTAATATTGTTATCATACCGTCGAACAAATTACCAGTGAAAAGAAAGTTACATTCGATTAAAATTTCATCCAATGAAATATAATTATTACCTAAAAAACAATAATTAGCTCTTGGATTTTTAAATCAATCCAGTGAGTGGTTAGCTCCAAGGGAGAATAAACTCTATTTTATAATTAGAAAACAGCAAAGTAAAATTTGCGAATCAAAGAAGGACCTCAAAGCTTGATCCCGCAGACATCTGTTTTTTTAAAAGTACTACATCTAATTAAAAGATGAAGGGACTACCATTATTAATTATAAAATATTATAATGAAAGTATAAAACTGTGACAATGTCTAAAAGAAAAAAGAGATTCAAAATAATATGAAGTTAAAATACTACTTTGAATTTTTTCTGTTTCAGATTATATGGATGGTTCTCCTTAATGTGTTTTGTTACCTACCCAAGTTTACAGAAAGTTTTAGTTGTTTTATTAAAATATTGTTTATTTAGAAAATTTATTATAAATTAGTTTTAATGATATAATAGATAATACAATTATTTTATATTAAATTATTTTACCCTTCCTAAAATTATGGGTCATAAAATTTTATATTTTGATTGGCATTTTGTTACATCTTGCACCTTGTCTGTGTTGTAAAAAATGCCAATAAAAATGCAAAATTTTAGTTATACTAATTAAAGTAGAGCTACAAACAAAATCCCGCTAATTTTTAAATAAAATAAAATATGCAGGTATCTATATTACCGACTGAGAAATAGTTGGACAAATCCCTTACCGGCGGCGCTGCAAGCAAACCTGTTGCCATATTTCTTCAAAGAAACGGCAACTCTTAATTATCCTTCCTCCATGGTTGCTATATTGTGCATGTACCTACCCCCAAATGCAGTTGCTGAAGAGGACCAGGTATCGGTAACTGGTATAGCCCGAGCTGAAACTATATTTTTGTTTCAAAGAACAGATTCTAGATGGCGCTGTACACAACAATTTACAGAAATCTACAATTGATGGTGGAAAGAGTGGGAGTGTCATTTGTCATTGTCAGGCATCCATTATCGATTACATGACATTTGCCATTTTACCTGTATTTTTTGTGATTATCAATATATTGTCAATATTTATTATTTGTTTGTATTTGGGTGTGCTCTGGATCCTGGATGTATAAATAGTAAGTATTTTGTAAATAATTGTTTATTGTATTGTCAACTTGGTCTTGTTCAATTGTGTTTTAAATGTTCAATTTGTTTACTTGATCTTGCTGACGATTGAGCTTATTTTAAATTTTTGTGGTCATTTTTAGTTATAAAAGCTGTACTATATCGTATTGTTGTATGCCAAATTGTTTTGTAAACACTCTGAAATCCTAATAACGATTTATTTCAAATTTGAGTATTGGGTGTTCGCAGTCCATTTTTCAAGAATAAAACAACAAATTTGTAAAAACTATTTAGTATGTGATAAACATTTTGAAGATATGTTTAAAGTTCTTGGTGCACGCAGCGATCTAACTGTATTTTTATTTGTTCTAGTACAAACTTATTCAAGCCGTTTGGAGTGGCAGTGTTGCATCGTTGAAGACAAAAACAGCCTAGTCAGGGAAGTAATAGTCACTGTACTTTTTGTATTCATGCCTCACATTTGATTTTTATATTGATTTAGTTCAGATTGTTACTTTTACTGTTTTTTATTTGTTCTAGTACAAACTTTCTTCAAGCCGTTTGGAATGACAATATTGGATTGTGGAAGACAAAATAGCCTAGTCCGGGAAGTAATGGTCAGTATACATTTTTTTATTTATGCCTCACCTTCTGTGCTCCCCAACAGATTTGAAGGGTTCAGGAAAAAAAGGGGCCTAGTCACAATTACCAAAATGTTCAGAAAACCAAATTTAATTTAGACTGACTAAATACAAACTTTTGATACTTTAAGGTAATTGATTACAAAAAGATGTTACTTTGTTTAAATGTTGCCTGATTATATTGTAGTTTACCACTTAATTTACCAGACAGTTGTATTTTTTTATTCTAAATACTGAAATGACAAACAAACAGTAGGAAAGTCCTTGGACATAATTTTAAATGCACTGTTTTGCATTTGCTAATACTGGTATTTTACAAAATAGGACGGACCAGTTCAATTTTGATAAAAATGTGGCTTAGCTGCTTTTTTCTTCCTGTACCCTTCTTGATTTATAAGTTGATTAATATTTATTTTTTGTTTTAGATAAAACTCTTCAACCTCTGTGGACAATGACTTAACTTTCCAGCTAATTAACACGCTACATTTAATTATTGTATTTTGTATGTTTTTTTTTTGTTTTAATAAATTAATTTTGTTGATCATGCTTTTTAATTTTTTGTAAAAATATTTCAACTTGTAGTCAAGTTAGGATTGGTTCATACTACTCATTTTTTGCTTTATTGTAACAAATATAATTTTATTGCTACAATAAACGTAAAAAAGGAGTTGGTATGAACAAATCCTAATTTGACTACCACTTTTAAACTAAATATTGAAGGACCATTTTGAATGTTCCCGCGTTTTGTGTTAACTAAAGTGACCGCGAGATGGCGCCACTTCCGCCAAATAGTTCAAAGAACGCTCACCGGGTGTTACAAAACTGTCTCAAATTTTAACATTGCAGTTTCCATTCTAAAAGTAATTGTTCTGTGAAGAGGACTCAAGCAGTCATTTCTGCAATATAAAACACATACTTAAAATTTAAACAAGAATTTACATTAAGTATTTTTGTTAAAATAGTAAAAAATCTATATTCGTAGGGAAACGAATATTGCCGCCAACAGTTCTATATAATAACTCATTAACGGCATCTTTGCTTAACGAAATATGATTTAAATTCATTATTATCCCGAAAGTTCATAATGATCAGGTTGATTTCTGACAGTGTAGGTCTTAAAACTACCTACTTGATAATAATCCTCTACCTCTTTATCATTTTCACTGACTACATTATTTTCTTGTTTGAACAAATCAATCAAAATTAAGGTTAGAAACTCGTTGTTAAACGTTTACCAGCCAAAAAAAGGAGCTGATAGTTTCACCCTCCGTTATGCAGTTATATCCGCCAGGTACACGATGCCAATACATTGATCTAACGATTTTTTTAGTTACCAAGAGGTTATCGTTACCAGCCACTTTAACAGCCGATTGATCTAGTAGCCCTAAAAAACATAAAATCTTTTAGCATTAGCGAGATACATTTTGGATTAAAAGAGTGATGCCCCTAAATGTCGGCAACATATTATACCATATTTCGAAAAATATGTTTTTTTAGCATGCTAAGAAAATAGACGTCATGACATTTATATTTGTCAATTTTTGTAACAAAATAGGTCTTTTCCTTTGCATCGAAAGTGTAGCACTAAGCTACGTCACTTCTGAAAATATCGTTCCATCCATACAATTTGTATATATGGAACGATATTTTCAGAATTGGTGTAGCCCAGTGCTACACTTTCGATGCAAAGGAAAAGACCTATAATTGCCGCGTTTGAGAATCCACATCGGATGCATCTGAGATGTAAAAAATCTTTGATCACGTGATTCAGTATACGTATGCTGCGTTTGAGAATCCACATCGGATGCATCTGAGATGTAAAAAATCTTTGATCACGTGATCCAGTATACGTAAATGTAATGGGACAGATGTGTCCGATGTGGATAAAAAAACGCTCGAGATGTAAAAAATGCATCCGATGTGGATTCTCAAACGCAGCATATGATTGTATCCGAACAACTACGAATATGTTATTTGGTAGCAGTGAAAGTGATGAAATTTATAAATAAATACAACAGTATGTTCTATGCTATATTTAGCAATAAAAAAGTTTATTTTTATTATTTTCACAAAATTATGTAAAATTCCTGTAAGAAACCATGCATTTTTAACAGCGCTAGCAACACCAGCGCCCATGCGGTGAATTATAAAAGCTTAATTAGCGTTCGTTTTTGGGACCGTATTTCGAGTATGCCGATTCGCCTTCTTATCCCTAATCTTCATACTCCGTAATTTAATAAAAATATTACATTTGTTTTTATAGAAAAACGTTCTGTAAATTTACTCTTTCTAATGTTCAAATTAAATTAAATATATACGACATAAACCCCAAGTGGGTCCACCAATGGAGGAACTCGAACCACCTGTACTACATACAAGTACTAGATGAGATCAAAATCCAAAATAAGAAGAATTGTTTTATAATGACATTCGACATATGTCAAGCTTGGAAAAGTGGCGCTAGTTTCTTGTTTCTTGTAACGGTGGTGGTGGTTGTGAATGGTTTTTTAACTGTTTCACGAAATGGCGAATGTAAATCTCGATAAAGAAACTTTTCATAGAAGATTAAAAAAGCTTTATAATGCCTGGCTAAACACAGATAGCGAAAATGGTTTTCAGAAAATGGATGCATTGGTTACCGCTGTCGGAAAAGATGACGATATTATGTACAGTAAATCCGGCGCTTTACAAACATGGCTTTTGGGATACGAACTTACGGATACCATAATGGTACTTGCGGAGAAGAAAGCATGTTTTCTAACCAGCAAAAAGAAAGTGGAATTTTTGAGACAAGCCGAAACGAAAGATGAGAATCACATTCAATTAAGCCTTTTTGTAAGAGATAAAGATAGTGATGAGGCAAAGTTTAAAACCCTTTGTGAAACTATTAAAGATAGCAAAAACGGTAAATCGATTGGAGTTTTTTCAAAAGACAACTATTCCGGTGCGTTTATTGATGCATGGAAAGCCGTTCTTAAAAAAGAAGGATTTCAAACAAGTGATATGAGCTCTCAGATAGCTTATATTATGGCCCCCAAAGAGGAGTCTGAGATTGTTACTATTAAAAAGGCTTGCATGGTAACTGTAGATGTGTTTACCAAATACTTAAAAGATCAGATCATGGAAATTATTGATTCAGAGAAAAAAGTGAAACATAGTAAATTAGCTGAAGGAGTAGAGTCTGCTATCACCGACAAAAAATATGTATCGGGAATAGATGTTAATCAAGTTGATATGTGTTATCCAGCAATTATACAGTCAGGAGGTAAGAATAACTGTTAGAATAAACTAGAGAAATATCAAATAGTTCAAAATTATTGAAAATAATAATCTTTTAAGTATAGATAACATGTGTGATTTTGATTTAAAAAAATATATTAAAATTATATTGGTGTTTACACATTAGAGTTCAGTGAACCTATTATAGTGATTTCATAGCTATATAAAGTTAGGTATATAATTTTAGCACAACCTCTGTGAACCTTATCTATAATTTTTCCAATTTTCCTGTTCTATTCATAATTTTGTGTACATTTATTTATACTTTTTAAATTATAAGTAGTGCTAACTTATAATAATAAATAATAATAATAAAATGCCTTTATTTGCTTGTAATATACAGTGCACATAAACATCATGAGGCGAAGTTTAGCTTGCACTACTCAACTTAACCTCAACATAAATATAAATTTAAAATAATCAAAAGGTATCCATCATTTACAATATAAAAAAATAAGAAATTTAATATACAATTAATTTATGATTAAAAAATGTTAACCCTGTATTTAATCTAAACTGAAATCAATGGAACTTAAAATACAATTAAATAAGCTGATGTACTTGCAAAATTGTCCCTATTATAATGACCTTTATCGTATTTATTTGATTTATTATAGTTTGACTGATGGGTATTTACAGATTTATTTCTTAGTCTATTTGGCTTTGAGTCAGTCTCATGTCTAAAACCCCTTATGACAATTGTTTATAAAAAAGTCCCAAACAAATGGAAAAGCCAATATGTAATGTTTGACAATAATTAAGGGTAATGCATAGTAGGTCTTGCAATAGTTATGTCAATGAAAAATGCAGATGTAAAATTAAAAAAATAACTAGTAATTATTTAACAAAGAATCATTACTGATAAAACACTTAACTCTTGTTTACATTTTATTTGCATTCAAGGCTTTAAATTTCTTTTCAAAGTAGTGGTGACACATATCTAACTTATACTGAGGAAAATATTAATTTTATTTAAGAAACTGATATTATTGGAACAAAAATGTTTTGAATTTGGTGTACTTACATTTTTGTAAGTATATATAAGTAGATATATTGATTTCAAATAACATTTCCTATATCCAACTAATATTTTTCTAAGTGTACAAGTACTTAGAAGGTTTTTTTCACAGTTTACATAAAAAAGTGCACCATATCTTTAGTTTTATTGAAAGCACATGATAAATAACAGAGTTTTCTAATCTTGATACTTAAGGTAGTACAACTTTTAATTAAAAAATTATATATATACAGGGTGGTACAGTTTATATCATCAGGATTTTACCAGCCAATAGTTTATCGAAAAATAAAAGTAATTAGTCCAATAAAACATGGTCCAATTTTAATTCCTCTTTGTCAAGTCAAGCTTCTGAGCAAACCACAATAATTGTACTTTGTTCTTATGTAGTAATAGTAATCTTTATTTTGTGTAATAAAAAAATCAACTTCATTACAAACCTTCATTAATATTATAGACAAAATATGATAAAGAACAGTTCATTAAAATTATATTAAAATAGTATATTATTTTATAAGGAGATTAAAAGTACATCATTTTTACAAGTATTTTTTGCAGTTGTGAGTTGGGACACCTAATGAAATTATAAAAAATAATTAGTAGGAAGCTATGACTTCATAGAATAATTGATTTCTTTTTGAGAAAGTACTTGTTCCAATCTTGCAAACGAAGAAATTCATTCCAAAATCTTGAATGGAATTATAATCATTTTTCTTATAAAACTTTAATTTTATTTATAAACCTATATATCTATTCCAACTGTCAAATTGAAATGTTTTACCCTAATTTATTGTTTTGATCTTTTTAGGTAATTACAGTTTGAAATTCAGTGTGGTTAGTGATAAAAATATTTTACACTTTGGAGCAATCATTTGCTCATTTGGAGCCAGATACAAATCCTACTGTTCCAACATAATAAGAACATTACTTGTAAATCCGAATGATGAAATTCAAAACAATTACAATTTTCTGCTGACTTTAGAAGAGGAGCTACTAAAAAAATTGCAGAATGGTGTAAAATTATCTGAAGTTTATGATACTGGGTATGCAATTGTTAAAAAAGAAAAACCTGGTTTGGTTGATCATCTAACAAAGAATTTTGGATTTGCTATGGGAATTGAATTTAAAGAAAATTCCTTAATTATTGGTCCTAAAACAACACTTGAGGCCAAGAAGGGAATGACTTTTAACCTAAATCTTGGGTTTTCCAGTCTACAAAATAAAGACAGTTCTGAAAAAGAAGGAAAAACATATGCATTATTTATTGGAGATACAGTGTTAGTCAATGATGGCCAACCAGCAAGTATTTTAACTAGTTCTAAGAAAAAAATAAAAAATATTGGAATTTTCTTAAAGGATGATGATGATTCTGAAGCGGAAGAAAATGACGAAGAAAAAGAAAACACACCTAAACCAGAAATTTTAGGTAGAGGAAAAAGAACAGCTGTTTTAGACTCAAAATTACGTACTGAACACAGTACAGAAGAAAAAAGGAAAGAACATCAAAAAGAATTGGCTGCACAATTAAATGAAAAAGCCAAAGAACGTCTCGCAAAACAATCTGGTTCAAAGGATAAACAAAAGGTCAGAAAGAACACAGTATCATACAAAAGTGTAAATCAAATGCCCAGAGTTTCAGAAGTGAAAGAACTTAAATTATATGTGGATCAAAAATATGAGACTGTTATTTTACCAATTTATGGAGTTGCTGTACCGTTTCATATTTCAACCATTAAGAATATATCACAGTCAGTTGAAGGAGATTACACGTACCTACGTATTAATTTTTTCCATCCTGGTTCTACTATGGGAAAAAATGAAGGTAAGAATCTACATAAATTTTCTATACTTCTTAAACAAATTGTTCAAAATCTAAAGTGACCAAAGTACTATTTTGCACCCAACGATAATGGATCATTAATTTTTAAGGAGTTAACATGATTGCTTGTAAAGAAGATTAAGAATTTGTCTGTTTCAAAATATTGTGACAGGCTTCTGGTTCACCTACAAAGTATCAGCGAGTCTGTGGCGCTATGAAGGTGATTCCCGAATAGGGGTTGCTCAGGCGCCAGTTTTTGGTATCGCAGTTTGCTCTGCGACCCTGTGGTACACCAGAGTGTACTCAAGGTAAACATAGTGGAGGTAAAAATAATTCCAGGCTGTCACTGCTAGGTAGCCACTATACTATAATAAATAAAAATAAAACACTTATCTCCTTTACACCTCATACCCTACGGTACCCTGAAAGAGAATGGTTCAGAACCAGCAGTAAGAGAAACACAGGAATAGGTAATAAAATATATATTTACAAAAAAAATACAACGGTAATTAAATATGAACGGCTCCCTGTATTCGGAAAATTTATTAAACATAAATTATTACACTTGAAAACCAATTAAATATTAACGGCTCCCTGTATTCGTAAAATTTATTCAAAATAAATTATTACACTTGAAAACTAATTAAATATTAATGGATCCCTGTAGTCGGAAAATTTATTAAAAATAAATTATTACAATTGAAAACTATTTAAATATTGAGAAATAATTACGGTTCGCTAGCACAGGAGGCCAAGCGGTCCGGGAATTATGAAACTCCCTGTATACGGAAAATTTATTAAAAATAAAATAATACACTTGAAAACAATTTAAATATTGAGAAATAATTACGGTTCGCTAGCACAGGAGGCCAAGCGGTCCGGGAATTATGAAACTCCCTGTATACGTAAAATTTATTAAAAATAAATTAATACAATTGAAAACTAATTAAATCTTAATGGATCCCTGCATTCGGAAAATTTATTAAAAATAAATTATAATCAAAACTATTTAAATCGGAAATTATGTACACCCGGTATATGGAAGGTATGTTTTTCCAAAATCACGAAATTAAATTAAATATTCTGGTCAAAATAGTAAAACGGAAAAATAACGGTAATTAATTAAAACGGAGTAATTAATTTTTTTAACAAACGGTTACCAACCTCATAAAAAATGAAAGAAAACGGGTAGTTACGACACTCCCTGTATACGGAAAGTAAAGTTTGCTATTACCACCATTAACCCACCTACAATGTACGTTCAGAAAAGGAAAACCTACTATATAATGAAACAAAGTTGTCGGAACCCCCTCGTATCTTATCCTCGAGCGATGGGCCGCGGCAATTTTCGTCTAGTGAGAAACATGGGAATTTATGCGGTGTTTTGGACAGGCGACGATCGTAGAAAATAATATTTTGAAATTTGCTCAGAGTCGATCGAGACGGTGTGTGAATTAATTTTACGGAAGTCATCTGGCTTCGTTCAATAACTAATTGTGGACGGGGAACGGAATGATTCAAATACAGCTGAATAAAAGAAATTTACATGAAGTGAGGCGCGAAAATTAATTTAGACGTCTTTTTGGGAAATTAGATAACGTCGTCAGGAGAGAGATCACTCTAACCCGGGAACGGATCGAACCTCCGAAAAAGAAAATAAAAAAAAATTGAAAACCGGTTGAACCTCTCACTTCAATGTTAACTGGGCGGTTTCTAAGAGAGATTGTATATAGTCGTTGACAATGAGAGCACTCAGAGTCTAGCCTATGTCCAGCCTCAAATAAAAATTGCCAACGGTTTCCCACTGAGGGATGAAATGAAATATCCTGTATATGAATCAAAATTCTTCACTTGTCGCACGGGTGTCCCCACTAATTATATAAAAGTCAATAAAAAAATAATATTCGGTTTCCTACCTTAAAAAATAAACGGGGTTATTCAATGATCTTTCGAAATCACGGTACTCACGGAGTATTTCACTAGGAACTGTAGAAGGGCGAATAGTTTTCGGCTGTCGTCAATCAAGAGAGAAGAGCTTACGGCGGCCGGCAATCAAGAGAGCGTAATTCCCAGATGTAACTGAATTTATGCTTTTCGGTAAACCTGAGTGGGGGATACCACTACTACAGCCGACTGTTTACAATTTAAAAATAAAAAAAATGTCCTTCTAGTACCTTGACAAATAAAGGTAGATAATTGGTACGAAATCGACTCTACAAAATGCCCATTCGGATTTCGGCAAATATAGGAATATTTTAATCTAATTCCTGGGAAACAGAAATAAGGGGGGATTTTCTACATGTGCTCAGGCGGGAATTAATCGAAATATACATTTATAAAATTAATTAAAAATAAAATTTAGTGACTTCGTCACAATATTATTATTAAATGTTTGTGCAAGTGGCTAAGTTGTATTTTAATACAGTCTATATTTATTTTATACACATACATATGTAGCAAGCCGGTTACATGGTAAAAATATAAATTAAAGAAAAATGAAATACAATACACAAAAATAACAGTGCTGCTATTTATTTTAAGTTACATTTCTTAATTATGTTTAACTAACAATATAATACAACGTTTTTCCTCTAGTTTCTAATGTAGTATTTCTTTTAAACTGATTGACACTACTTACTACAGTACTTATTTTTTTTTTTCAATTTGGTTACACTTTTTCAAATATTTTTTGTAATTGACCTTGAAAATGTTATCGCATAAGTAATATCTGTTTAATTCCTTGTTTAGGCAATTTTTGGTCTCAACCAGATGCCACGTTTCTTAAAGAAGTGACATACAGAAGCTCAAATATCAAAGAACCAGGTGAAATTACCCCTCCCTCGTCTAACTTAAACACCGCTTTCCGACTTATTAAAGAAGTTCAGAGAAAATTCAAAACTCGCGAAGCTGAAGAAAAAGAAAAGGAAGATTTGGTTAAACAAGACACATTAGTTTTGTCTCAAAATAAAGGTAATCCCAAATTGAAAGATCTCTACATCAGACCAAACATTGTTTCAAAGCGTATGACTGGATCTCTAGAAGCACATACCAATGGTTTCCGTTACACATCTGTCCGAGGCGACAAAGTTGATATACTTTACAACAATATAAAGAATGCATTCTTCCAACCTTGCGACGGTGAAATGATTATTCTTTTGCACTTTCACTTGAAACACGCTATTATGTTTGGCAAGAAAAAACATGTGGATGTTCAGTTTTACACTGAAGTTGGTGAAATCACAACAGATTTGGGCAAACATCAACATATGCACGACAGAGACGATTTAGCTGCTGAACAGTCGGAGAGAGAACTTCGGCAGAAATTGAAGACTGCATTTAAGAGTTTTTGTGAAAAAGTAAGTAAAATAATCTTTAGCACTATGTAATTTTTCGTACTAAAATTTATTATAATTAATATTATATACATTGTTACAAAAGTTAGGGTTATATTACCTTACAAAAAAAAAATTATGACTATATTTTTATCAGTGCATATTTAGTAAAAAAAATGCTTGTCTTTGATTTTCTCTTGCTCTCAACTTTCAAGATCAACTTTTTTTTTAATAGCATATTAAAATAGATGGGCAAATTAAAAATGTAGAAATTAACCTGGAGTGCCTCAGGGGACAATTCTGGGCCCCATACTTTTTAATATATACTTAAATAATATTTTTATGATAGAAATAAATAGCAAAATCAGTTTTGCGGACGATACCTTATTGTTTTGCGATGACAGCAACTGGTTTAACCTAAAACATAAAAATTAAAGCATGATTTACAACATGTTAAGATGTGGCTAGATAATAAACTTTTGTCACTAAATATAAAAAAAACTGTATACTTACCATTCAGTTCCTACGTTGATGCTTTGCCAAACTATGATCTAACTATTGAAAATCTTAACAATCTCCCCTGTTAGCCAAGTGAAGTACCTTGGTATTATGATAGATCATAATTTGAGATGGGATCAATATATACAATACCTTTTAAAAAAACTAACTTACATAATATTTAAATTCAAAGAAATATGTAAAATACTCAACTTAAAACAAAAAAAAAATGATTTACAAAAGTCTAGTTGAATCCCATCTCAACTGTGGAATAGTGGGCTGGGGCGGAGTTTCTAAGACGTATCACTAGCCCTAGAAATTCTTCAGAAACGCTTCCTTAGGACAATTCTTAACCGTGATTATGATTGTCCAAGTAATACTTTATATTATCATGAAAGTGAAATATTTGATCCTAGACAACTTTTTTATAAATTTATGTATCATCCAACACACTCACAAGACTGACCTAATTACCTTATGTCACATACACAACACAAAATAAAGCAATATTTGTTACCCCCTTTATGAAAAAAAAATATATAATGCCCTTCCATGTGATATTATGAAAGAAACCAGTACAAAATAAGTTTCAAAAAATTTGTCTTCAGTATGCCAAGAATTTTTACACATAACTTGATAGATTAAAAGTGTATATTAAATAATAAAAAAAAACTATACATATTTAAGTTCGATATATCTATATTTTAATCACATTTCCTTATACTTTTCTAATTTTAGTTTTAATTAGTATAGGCAATTATATTTATTTATTTATAATTATATAATTATTGTATTTTCTGCCACACACAAGTATACTTAGTATTACTTCATGGCTAGCCTGTTTATTTGTAATTATAACCTTTTATATAAAGAAAGGTACATCGTGTACTAACTTTATCTAGCGTTGTGACGGCGTCGATTTTAGGTACGTCGCAGCGTGTAGCGTCGCCTTGCGTTGTGGCGGAGAGGACGGTATTTATTACGGTACTGCGTCGGGACGGATGTAAGGTAGTGCTGCGCGACGAAGGTTGTCACGGGTATTATATATAAATCGTTTATTTAGTCAAAAAAACTATATTTTACATGTAAATACATCTTCACATTTAAAATATAAAAAATAAATAAGTATGGAATCGAGTACATTTAAAATTAAATAAAAAATAAAAGAAAGAAAAACGTCAATTGGTCAGCAAGTACTCACACAGTTTTCTTTTAAATATTGCAGCGTTTGAAGAACATTTAATATATTCAGGCAAATTATTAAAAACCTGCACACCTTTAAAAAACATTGAATTTTGTGTACATTTTTTCATGACCTAAACTCTAAAATTTTTCTTATTTCGTATATTCTGTTCATGAACATCCTGATTATAACTTAAAATATTTTGTAAATATACTGGGGAGATTCCTGATTTAATCTTAATTATAAATAGCAGGGAATAGAATAGCAAATATTTTTTTAACAGGCAACCACTGAAGCACATTCAACATGTAATTGATTGGTTCTATTCTGCAACTTTTGCAATCGTTGCAACTCATTCTGGTTGAGCAACTACGATATAGTGGCATAATAATTAAAATGAGGTAATATTAGAGTATTATAAATTATTAGTTAAGCCCATTTGCTGAGATGTGGAGAACAGCGCCTCAAATAGTTTATTTTAAATGATATGCTTTTGATGACGTTATTAGCATGTTCTTTAAATTGTAAATTTCTATCAACCATAACACCTAGATATTTAAATTTTTCAACTCTCTGAAACTTTATTCCATCAACAGAAACACACTGCGATGCAACATTTAATTTTTTTAAATTTTCAGTTCCCCCAATTAACATCCACTTTGTCTTTTCGTAATTTATTTACAACGAATTTCCATTACAATAATCATATATTTTACTTATAGAACTATTAATTTCTTTAAAACAAGTTTCAGTGTTTTCATGGGTAAAATATATCGGTATCATCTGCAAATAAGTGTATTGAGCATCTTTTGACTACACCAGCAATGTCATTAATATAAATTAAAAACAGTGGACCTAGAAAGGAAGAAGGAAAGGTAGAGAAATAGGGCGGTGGGACGATGAGCATCGTAACGTGAAAACGTTAAGGAGATAGATTTTGGGACAGATAAGTAGAGCGTCGGGTCGTAGAACGTCACTACTTAGGATCGTCGTTTGGAGGTAGGGTAGGAAAGGCGTCGGTTAGGGAGAGCGTCGGTTTAGAAAAAGTACTGAATACTGAACTTGAAATACAACTAAATTTAAAAAGCAACTGAATTAGACTGGATTTAAAATAATAATGCTGTGTTCCCCGGGGTTAGGTATTTATACCCGTGTTTTAACGACGTAGATTTGTCGTAACTCCGGTGGGAACGAATTTAGTTAGATAAAAAAAAGGTGGTAGATTTATTACGTGCCTTGGGAAATTCTCGGAATTTTGTATAATATTAGAGACCCCGCGAACAAAAATATTGCTTTTACTTATTAGGCATCATAGATAAGATTTAATTGTCTAAGAGATTTTTTGTAAAAATAAAGGAATTTGATAAAAAAAAAAAAAAATTAATATTTTTTTAATTAGATCACTTAGCCCAACTAGTCTACATTTATTAACATTTAGAGTTATAATTTTGTTTGCATCACATAGTGAAGCATAGAGGTCTGATTGTAAAGCTGATTTGTCATCAATCTTTATGCTATCATCTGCAAATAACAGGCAGGCACTATTTAAAAGCTGTTGTGTAATTCAGAAATAATAAAAATGAGATAGGGGCAATATGAGAACCCTGTAGAACACACATTGTAGCATTAGAACGAACTCTAATGGAATATATTTCTATAAAAATCAATATATTGAATTTTACACTAAAATACTGATCTAATTGATTGATTTTAGGTTGAATCCATGACCAAACAAGAAATAGAATTTGATACACCTTTCAGAGAATTAGGATTCCCTGGTGCACCGTTTCGGTCTACAGTATTACTCCAACCAACGTCAGGATGTTTGGTAAATCTCACAGAATGGCCTCCGTTTGTCATTACTTTAGAAGACGTCGAATTGGTACATTTTGAACGTGTCCAATTCCACCTGAAGAACTTTGACATGGTATTCGTTTTCAAAGATTACCAAAGGAAAACAGTCATGGTTAATGCTATACCAATGAACATGTTAGACCATGTCAAAGAATGGTTAAATTCGTGTGATATCAGGTACAATCCTTTAAAATTATATGATTTATTATTATTTTTTTGTACTATTTTACTTAAATTGTAAATTCAAATATTCAGGTATGCAGAGGGAGTTCAATCACTAAACTGGGTGAAAATTATGAAAACCATCACAGATGATCCAGAAGGTTTCTTCGAAAGTGGAGGTTGGACTTTCTTAGATCCAGAATCGGATGCTGAGGATGCAGCAGATGAAGAATCTGAAGAAGAAGATGAGGTATACCGGCCCTCAGATGTCGAGGGAGATGAAGGATCTGAATGGAGCGATGAAGATTCTGAATACTCTGAAGGAGATACTGAAGACGATGATGGGGATGCATCAGAAGATTTAGGTAAGAAGATGCTGTTATACAAATTTTTGTTTTTATCCAGGCTGCTTTAAATCATTGCTTTTATTCGTAGTAGGTTTGTTCATTTGTTTTAGACTCCAGTAGCGTAAAACCATAGATTCTTGTTTCTTTAACCATTTTCAGCCAAAGGTTCATCATTGGTTACTTTTATTCCTAGTAGGTTTGTTTGTTTATTCATTTTAGACTGCAGTAGAACAAAACCCATAGATTCTTGTTTCTTTTGAATTACTTATTTCCATTTTCAGCCAATGGTTGATTGATTGATTTTAAAGTTAGTATTTGAATGGACTGAGTAACCCAGAACTCCTATTCACTTACTCGTGAGAGTGCTAGAGCACAACTACTCTATCAATACTCTCTTACTGAACTGTATTATTGATGATTCAGTGACTCTCCTACATTTTGCCCCGAGTTGCCAAATCAGAAGATTGACTTTGAACTACCATTTTGTTCAAATATAACTTTAGATTGATTTTCTAGCCATTTAAGCAAAAAACGAGAAAATAAATTCCACTTTTATAACAACATAATAACAAATAACTACGGAAGTTGTTTGAGATCACAGTTTTCAACTTCGATCAAATAAGGTGTTTTAAATATGGCTAAAATTGGTCAGAGTACAAGTAAAAATCCGCTAGGTTCGCTAGTATATTTATGGCAAAAATATGGCTGTCCGTTTTTAACCTGTCTTGAGTGCAATCGTGCAAATCGCAGTTTATTTTATCTTTTCTTTATTGAAAAATACAACTGTGATCTAATTTGTAAATATATAATGCTGTTTTTACAATTAAATGCTTTTAAAGGTCGTGCACAAGGGTTCTAGTTTTGGAATTAGGATAAAATACCTGGATCAATTTGAAATTCTAATGGACCCCCAATTCTCAGTGTAATCATTGTATGAAAAACTTTAAATACAAAAATATTAATATCAAAGCTTACCATAATAAATCAGATGGCTTTGGAGAATCAAAAAGAAATTAATTTACTGTGGATGACTCCAAAATATAATTTTTTGTTTTTAATGAATTTTTCGATTTAATTTATTTTAACGATTTTTGTAAAAAAAAAAACCCTAATGCGATTTCTTCAATATTGCTGTTTATATTAAATTGTAGTAAACTAGCAGTTTACCTAAAAGTATAATTTAATGAGTGGTAACATGTAACATGTGGAGAAGAGGTTGTCCCACGGCATTTAGGTCTCACTAGACTCATTGATAGGCCTCTCTTAGCTCGTCAGCCAACCTAAACATAGACATAAACATGCACAAATTCAGGCCCGTCTTTTTTATTTTTGTTGTTTATTTTAACATCTGTACACAGTTAAAAAAAAGTATCAACTTAGGATTCGCCCTGTATAGTTGTCTTGCGTTTTATAAGTGAAAAGTAAATGGTAGTTGTAGTAACGAGGTTTAATGTTTGGTGAATATTTTAGAATGGATGTAGTAAGCTTTATGTTGAATTATTTTATTGTTATCTGTGTAATTTCTTTAGTTTGGATAAATTGCAAAGTTTTTACAGTCACTTTATTTGTGTCACATTTATTTAGATTATATTTAAGTTCTTGAACAGGTTGTGTTGTAGTGGTGAGTAGATTAATTTGGATTACTATGGCTTAATGATCGCTTTCTATATCTGGAACTAGTATTGATATTAACAAGTTTATTTAGCAAATTTTTTGTACATAATAGTAGATTAGGAGTTGTGCTTTGGTTGTTTTTAATTATAAATGTAGGACCAGTTTTTAATAGTGTTAAATTGGAATTATTTAAAAACGAGTCGTTTTTCTTTCTAGTGTTGTTTAAGTCTTCAAAGATAACCGCATAATCGTAGAGTACTACTTTTGTGAAGATTATTTCTTGTATTAGTGACCTGGCATGCATATACACAAAGAAGTGCATGCTTTTTGTTAAATGAATAAATTACCAATAAAATGCAATAATGACCAATGAACATATGAAAACGTTCTAATCCTGCATAAATAAACTATAAGCGTCAATTTATGACAGATCAAAATACCTGAAAATCAGATAAAAACTCGTGCGTTTCCTTTTGTTTTTAAAGGGGAGTTGGTTTAAGTTATAGTCTAAAATCAAAATGTAAAAATTAATTTCTTGTCATTTCTTTCAAAATCTGGTAATTCTCTTGGTTTTACTTAGTATAGGAGCATTCTCTTAACCTTCGTGAATATAGATTTTATAATTTTAGTAGAGTGTCATGTGCCATAAGGCTAAATTCTAAAAGGGGTCACTTTAAAACAACTGCTCTCACGAGTTACTGCATAGGTTCCAAAGATAACTATTAAAAATAGACTGATTATATAAAAACAAAAAAAAAGTTTTGAGAATTTGAGAAAATCTTCTAACATTATCGTTTATTAGGTTCCGAAGAGGAGTCCGGTAAAGACTGGTCCGATCTAGAAAGAGAAGCTGCCGAAGAAGATAGAGAACGTGTTTACAATGATGATGATGTTAAAGGAGGCAAGGGTCACGATAAGCTATCATCAAAGGACCGCCACAAATCTAAAGACAGAAACAGACACAGCAGCAGTAATAACCGAAGTTCCAGCAAGCATCATTCCTCTTCTAGTAAACATTCGAGTTCAAGAGACAAAGATAGACACAACAGTAGCAGCAGCAGAGACAAAGATAGAAGCCGGCACTCATCTTCTTCTAACCACAAATCATCTAGTAATTCTAAATCGTCTCCTTCTAAAAGCAAGGATAGGGGTAGGAGCTCGGGCTCACATAAGAGCAGTTCCTCTGATAAAAAAAGAGGTCGAAGTGGCAGTGATGACAAACATCACTCGAAGAAGTCTAGGAAGTAAATGTATTATTTAATATTAACCAGTTTTTATATGTCGATTCTCTTTTATGCATTAAATAAATGTTTACTGATAGTGTACAGTTTCTGTTTTGATAATGTTATTTTTCTTAATTGTAGTTTATTTCTAAATACAATTTTTCTTCTTGGTTGTCTCATCTTAAATTATTATCGTTTCATTTTTTTTTATGTATAAAAAATATATTTTAATCTGTCTCAGTAACTTCGGTCGCTGGCGGCCAGCAGATAACATATTTTTTTTCATAAATTATATAAAAAAATTATTAGAGAAATCAAACTAAAAAATTAAAATTGTTCAGTAACGTTTTAAAAAGAGATGAATCTTAAAATCAAATTTTCCAATTAGCATTTGATGGCCATCCAGATAATTGTAGATGTAGTGTTATAAGTTACGTTAATGTTTTGTAAAATGTAATACAGGTTCAACTTACATCTTTATGTTGTATTTTTCTTTGATGTACCATTGAGATCACTGATCCATTTGATATATTTTTAAAAGTAACTTCAATGAAAGGTTCTTTATTCTTTCAGTTATAAAAATGTTTACTTAGTGTTTAATAAAGTTATTGTAATTTATGCTATGAATTATGTCTGCAATGCAGTGCCCTTAAATCCATAAACTATTTAAATATTTTGGTTGAAATTTAATAATAAGGAATGAACTGAAATTAAATTATTTTCTTGTCGAATGAAATACACAGGCTTAATAGAAAATTTTCATTTGGTTAAAGTGAAAGTCAATGTCTTATAATATATAATTTTTTTATATTTATGTAGTATTTTATTTCATCTGAGTAAATCCACTAAGAATTTATGAAGTCTTTTATTAAAAGAGACTAATAATAATATTTATTTGGTATGATTCCCCACTCGACCATTCACTGTTGGGTTCTAATTAACGGTGCAAAGGCTAATGACCAAGATGTCGATGCCAAAAAAAAACTGCTGTTCCTAAAGTAGCGCTGGGAAACGAGGCTAATAACCCTAGTAGTTGATGCCGATGACACCAAAATAAAAAAAAATATTTATTCATCCTTCAAACACATAGAAATATATAGGCCAAGTCAAAGTTTTTGAAATGAATCTCAATGTCCCGATAAATTAAAATAAATAAAATTGAAAATTCGAATAAATTTGAATAAATTATTTCAGAGCGAATTCATCTAAGAAGTTTCACTTTGAGGTAAATAATAAACTTGACGCCTCGATAATTTATCTGAGCTTTTGAGTTTTTAACTGTTAGACCCACTGAAATCTTCACTACAGTCATACTACAATAATTTCTTTAATAATCAGTCATTTAAAGTTAATGAATTTGAGATTCTGCTAGATTAACATTTGAGCCGTCTCACAGTATTTCGAACAGAGGAAACAGTGAAATTATTATATAAATTAACAAACAACATTGCGATTGTTCCAAGTTTGGGTAATTTGTTGCACAGTATTTAACTAATACGATGGATAATCAGAATCCTTTATAAAAAAAATAGAATAAGTGAATTATTTTATTTCTTATTTAACTTTTCTTGTGATACCACTGTACCTAATATATATAAAATACTATGAACAACAAATATAACTGTTAAATTGTGGATGATATTGAAGGAAATGATACCTAAAAACAATAAAGAACTTCGATTCACGGAGATTGAGGTGAGTGAAAGTCAAGTAGTAAAATATATATGTGAAATGCCTGAGGTTTTAAACAAATATTACGTTAACAGTATCAAATAAATAGTCGATAATCTAGAATATAATGTTCCAGATTTTCCTATTGTAAATAGAACTAACAATGTCTACGTAAAAGTTTTAAATTAATTGATAGGGACACTTTAAAGGAAATTATTTTTGAAATGGCAAAGGAAGTCCTGATGACATAAATGTAGAATTTTTGAAAAATTGTTTTGATAATGTTGCACTGCCCTTATTAACATCGTAAATACTAGACACCAATACCATTCCATCAATCTTAAGTTTCAACTATAACACCAATTGCTAAAGTTACTAATTTCAATAAGGCAGCTGATCTTAGACCAATCAATATGCTTTGTACTATTTGAGAAAGTATTGGAAAAAGTAGTTTATAGTCAACTTGTTGAATATTTAGAAAGGAATAATTTATTAAATAGTGTACATTCGGGATTTAGATGTAGTGGAAACAAAACCATAATAATAAATTAATAACGGGCGCTGTTTTTTAGATCTTCAGCGGGCATTTGAAACTGTTCTTTACTTATTAGAAAACTAGGATAGTTTTGGCATCATTGATAGTGCTTTAAAATGAATGATATAGGATATTTAGATAATAGAAAACAGAAATTAAAATTGAATAGCATTTTATTTACTGAAATTACAAACGAGTGTGGTGTACCGCAAGGTAGCGTTTTAGTTCCCCTACTTTTTTATTGTATATGGATGATATCTCATTTATTATTATTGATAGATGCAACATTCATCTGTTTGCAGATATAATTAATGTAATAAATGAAACACTGAAGTCAGTATATAAGTGGTGCTGTATCAACTCATTAAAAATTAATAAAAATAAAACGAAATTCCAATACCATGACTTCAATGAATATAATTATGATATTAAAATAGCAAACGATAAAATTGAGTTAGTAAAAAAAAAATACTTATGTGTAATAGTAGACAATAGAATGTTTTTTAAGGAACATGCTTCATACATTATTAAAACATAATAGCATTTAAAATTAACTACTTAAGTAGGCAATCTAAGCATCTAAATCAATGGTCGCTTTTACTTTTATATAACAGCTTAATTTTACCTCATTTCACTTATTGTGGAACCATCTTGTATTTACTAAACCAAAATGAAATTGAAAGACTTCAGAATAGAGGAATGAGAGTAATATTATCTTGTGATTTAATGTTAAATACATTAAAATGGTTATCTGTTAAAAATCACTTTCTTTATTTAACATTAATATTTATATTTAAAATAAAAACTGGTGGTGTTCCTGTATATTTACGTGACAAATTAAAATATAATTTTGAATTTCATGAATACAATACAAGAAGCCGCACTAACTTTCATATACGTCAGGTTAGTAGTGTCAATTCAAGTAACACAGTTTTCATTGAAGGAGTTCAAGCCTTTAATGAACTGCCGGAGGAAATTAAGAATGCTACTTCGCTTCATAAGAAATTAAAAGGGTACATATGTTAGAACAACAAAAGAAGTAGTGTAGAAACCTGCTAATACACTTTTTTTAATTCATTGTGTTGTTATTTGTATATTTTAATGTATATGGTTTAAAATTTTTATTGTAATTTTTAAATTTCATTTTTTTTAACTACTGCATTGTTATATTTGTATTAGCTTGCTGCTAAATAAACGATATGCACACACATAAGTGATGAATTTGGAAGATAATGGTGAGTACTTTTTATTTTTTATAAGAACTAGTACCTAACATTGCACATTAATTTAGAAAAAATGCCGAAATTCAAATTTTTTGTGATTCTTGGCATTTATGAGTTTCTATGTCTTCATCTACCCCCGGTCTAAAATTTATGTATATCATAGTTTCTCACAGTTTCTGTCAGCACACTTTAAAAATAAAATCGTAGATTACTCCTACTGTTTTGAAAATGGAGTTCTTTGAGGAATTGTTGAAACACGAAAAAAGCGAATAGAATATCATATTTTATCAGTTTTTATAACTATGACATTTCCTAATACTGATTTCTTGCTTTTATAATTTAAAAAACTAAATCCTTAAGCCGAACAGAGTTTCCAACAATACAAGTCAGTTGGACAACATTATTTAGTTTAATATTCTAACGGTAAGGATTGTATCTACTCGTGAACATTTTGTACAATAAAAATCTAATTAAGGTTTGTTATACAAAATATAAATTTTGCTAAAGAGTAAAGCACCTTTATTTTTGTCAATTACTTTTTCCTAAAATTATTAATAAAAATTTTTTCTATATGCCGCCAACTGTACTTAAGTTAGCGGCATACGGAAAAGTTCTTCATTATTAATTTTAGATAAAAAGTATTCTTCATGACCTAAAATCCAAAATTCAACTATCTGATACCAAATTTTATCAGTCTTATACGAGGCTTGTCAAAAATAAAGGTACCTACTTTACTCTTGAGCAAAATTTAATATCTGATGGTTGCATTTTAGAATTTAGAACATGCAGAACTTTTTTATTTATTTATTCACGGGCCTTGCCCACTTTCAGTACAAAGTTACAAATATAAACAAATAGAGTCAATCTAAATAATATGTTATAATAATGATAAACTAACAACAAAAAAATATTAACATGTACAAAATCGAAACAACTAATATTAAGACTAGGGAATTTAAGTCACAGTCATGGTGTATAGTAAGGGTCTATTTATACTCCCTTAGTATTAGTATTTGTATTAGTATTATGATTAAGCATTAAATTTGTTAAATCATTCAAAAAAGGTATTTAGGGTCTATTTATACTCCCTTATTATTAGTATTTGCATTAGTATTATGATTAAGCATAAAGTTGAACCTTTACAATGTAATGGGGACATTTATACTCGATTTATGATTAGTATTAGCATTAATATTTATGCCTAATAATTGACAGGTTCAACTTTTAAATTAAATATTAAATTTCTTCTTTTCTATAAATAATCAATGGCGTATTTGGCCTTTGTTTTTAATAGACAACGGATAAGGATAATTAACAATACACATATGATTATGTTGTTTATATGTTTGTTCCAACAAGCTCGAAAACGATAATATTTCGGTACAAATCATGCTCTGTATTACAATTTTTGTGTATCAGCAGTGTTCACCGATTATAAAGTTGACAAATGACATGTCACCACGAGGAAGCAAAGGCCTCTTTTCTGTCTGATTTGTATCAAATTTCTGCTTCTTTTTATTTGTTATAAATTTGAGACTTAAATCCGTTAAAATGTCCTTAATTAAACCTATTTTTGAATAATAATATTTTTAAATAAAACTAACTAGTAAAAATATTAATAGAAACACATTTAAAACTCAAATATCTTAAAAGAACACAACCGGCCTCTTACACATTTCTTCAGTAACCATATATTTTGTTGACTGCAGAATTATATCTTATTAGGTATTAGGTTTAAAAAAGAATTACTAATACTAATTATAAAACGAGTATAAATACCTTTTTTGAATGATTTAACAAATTTAATGCTTAATCATAATACTAATACAAATACTAATACTAAGGGAGTATAAATAGACCCTTATACTCGTTTTATAATTAGTATTAGTAATTCTTTTTTAAACCTAATACCTAATAAGATATAATTCTGCAGTCACCAAAATATATGGTTACTGAAGAAATGTGTAAGAGGCCGGTTGTGTTCTTTTAAGATATTTGAGTTTTAAATGTGTTTTTATTAATATTTTTACTAGTTAATTAGTTAATATTATTTAAAAATAGGTTTATATAAGGACATTTTAACGGATATAAGTCTCAAATTTATAACAGATAAAAAGAAGCAGAAATTTGATACAAATCAGACAGAAAAGAGGCCTTTGCTTCCTCATGGTGACATGTCATTTGTCAACTTTATAATCGGTAAACACTGCTGATACACAAAAATTGTATATAGAGCATGATTTGTACCGAAATATTATCGTTTTCGAGCTTGTTGGAACAAACAAATAAACAACATAATCATATGTGTATTGTCAATTATCCTTATCCGTTGTCTATTAAAAACAAAGGCCAAATACGCCATTGATTCATTTTATAGAAAAGAAGAAATTTAATATTTAATTTAAAAGTTGAACCTGTCAATTATTAAGAATAAATAGTAATGCTAATACTAATCATAAATCGAGTATAAATGTCCCCATTACATTGTGAAGGTTCAACTTTATGCTTAATCATAATACTAATGCAAATACTAATAATAAGGGAGTATAAATAGACCCTAAGTTTTAACACGCTCACAAAATTAGAAAAGCTTGAATCACAAAGCACATAGAGGTTCCACGTGAATGACCAAGGTCAAAACCGACAACTGACATTTTTTATGCTATTTGCTCCAAACTCTAGATGGGGCTACTGGTGAAATTATGATTTCTTACTCCATTTTTAAGCCTTATGGGAGAAAAACTTAACCAAAGACTCCAAAGATGTGACGTGTATTTATTTATGTTCTTGGTTAGTTTCATTTTTCCGTCTGATTTTAGTGATTTTTTGTTGGCTTTGGCTTTTGGTTTCTGTTTATAGTTTCGTCTTAGTTATTTGCAAAATTGTGATGTTTCGCTTTTTTATTTCCTACTGTGTTTTGCAATAATTTTGGTGCTACGTTGAAAACTTCGAGAAAAACTTCATTGATTCACCATGCATCTGCATCATAAAAAGACAAACGGGGACAACAACTAATTGATAATCAATTTATCACTGGACTAGATTCCGAAATCTGTATTTGGAAGGAAAATACCTATTTATCATTGAATGAATAGTTAAAAGGATTCACCTTTTAATACAATACCTATATTACATTTGTCCTCAATTAAAAAGACATTTATAAAATATATAACTTTAGTGTTAATAAAATGTAATATCCTAGTCTCTACTTCACATTTACATTATTGATAGGTATTTTAAAGATTTGAGATTATATATCTATTTGCTCCAAGTAAGTATTCGTTAAATATGTATTATTATTTGTATTTATTTTTATCTAATAATATTTATTTAAGTTATTAATAAACATATTTTAAGAATGTTCTATATTATTATTTATTGATATATCTTATATTTATTTAATAAAAATATGCAGAACCAACTCTCCACATTAGACCCCTTATAACAAATTAATTCTTCAAATTTGGTATAATCGACCTAAATTATTTTGTAAAATAAAAGTTTCGAACTTACTAGTTCCATACTTTATTTTATAAAATAATTTATGTGGAAATCATTTAAAATTTAATTTAAAACTACTACCTACTCCTAAAAATTACAATTTGAATTTACCGCCATCTGTCAATTGTCATTTTAGTTCCAGCTCCAAACACAAGGTGGCGCTAATTTGGTTTAAAAGTTTAACATTGGCGTGGGGTCTCTAGAAGATACATGCTTTGTGGCTTGAATTAAAAAATTCTAGACTATCAGCACAAGCATTAGCGCTTCGTGAAACTCTAGGCATGAATGAATTGAGGTCAGTAGTAGTTCTCATGTAGGGCTGATGAAAACTGTTTACTGATCTTGTGCTTCTAATTAGGGCTGCCAACATGCTTGAAATCAATGTAGGGCGTCAACCATATAATTAATGAGCTTAAAAAACAATTTCAGATCTGCCTGTTCTCTTCTTATTCTTAAAGTTGGTAAAGAGAATGTCTCTTGCAGTGCCGCAAAATCATAGAGTCATCTATCCGTGAAATATTTGATTTAAATTCTAAGCAGCGAAGGCATTTTCTCTGAACCTGTTTTAAACTATGAATGTGACAAATATACTGGGGATTCCAGACCGAATAGCAATATTTTAGCAGAGGCCTAACAGTAAAATAACCTGATAGCATTAATACTTGTAACGTCTGATGTGTTTCTCTTTATAAACCGAAGCATACCAAGTGCTCTGGATACTATTGTGTCAATGTGATTGACAAATGAGAGCGTGAAACATTCTGAGATATCATTTATAAATAATAAAAATAACACAGGTCCCAAATGGGACCCTTGGAGGACTCCAGATGGATTGGGAATGTTTTTAGATCTGTAATTATTCAATTTAACAGTTTGTAATCTTTCAGATAAATAACTCGCCAGCCATTGCAATAATGTTCCCAGCAGTCTCCAGTTTATTTAACAAAAGTTTGTGATTGACCCTGTCGAACGCTTTGGAAAAGTCTGTGTATATGGCATGCATTTCAAACAACTTTGGAATGGAACTAAGATGGGTCTATAGTTGGATATGTCTGCTCTGTTGCCAGACTTGAAAATGTGTTTATGAACAATCATTTTTTTTGTAAAAGTAATAATAAAAAAGTAGTTTCACATATGGTGCCGACTTAATTGAACACACTGTATAACAAGCCTTAATTAGATTTTTATTGTACAAAATGTTCATAGATACAATCCTTAGTCAGAAAATTCAACTAAATAAGCTTTCCATCTGGCTTGTATTGATGTTCACAGTTCAGCAATTTACAATCTGATCCACGTGCCCACCAGTGGTCACTCTACAATTAGTAACAAAAAATTACTGAAACCCCCAAATTAAAAAAACTAAAGCTACTTACAAAATTGGTAACTTTTACAACTAAAACTCAACTATTTCGAGAAAGAAAAAATTTGGGTGGACATTTGGTTTCACAAAGTAATTTTAAGTCACGAAACTAAAACATGAATAAATAAAAAACCTGATCAAAATCTAAAAAGTAAACTATGTAGATAGATAAAAGGAAACATGTTTAAATAAAAAAAGCTGCAATTAGTTTGGTCCCAAGGGTTGAACAGTTGATCTGAGAGTGGGGCTCAACATGTTAAGTGATTTTGTGGCAAGCACCCAATCAATGGAGATGTTTCTTAATCAATAAATGTAAGATAAGTTCAGAGTTATTTTTTTTGTTTTATTACAGTTGTGTACCATTAGCAACTAGTGCAGTAAAGTATCTACTTCTTTAGATAGTTATTACAGCACATCTGTAATGATAATTTTTATTTCATGAACAAAAAATCTAAATATGAACAAAATATTTTATTACTAAAAAGCGTCAACAAATGTGTAGGTAACTGGAAAAATGTGCTTTCATTTACTAGCCTATTGTATAAATAAATAAATAAACAAACAGTAAAAATTGTTATTTAGATCCATTTAATTGTATATTTTGTAACCGATTTCTGATCTCCTCCACCAAATTTGTCCTCTTGATTTCTAATTCTTGTCTGCTGGTTACATCTCTTAATTTCACGATTCCATTTTTAATTTCACTCTCTCCTAAAATAAGAGCAAAAGGAATGCCGTTATCTTCACAATGTTGTAATTGAGCTAAAAGTTTTGGATTTTTCTTGTAAGAATGTTCTACTTTAAAACCATAATTCCAGAGTTCATTGCAGAGTTTCATTCTTTCTTCAAAGAGATTCTTTTGGGCAGTTGCAACATAGATTTCAATTTCTGTTGTACGTTGTTTTATGTTTGAACTTGCTTGTTTTGCTTCCATTATTGCAAAAAGTCTTTCTACTCCAATAGAGACACCTACACAAGGTACTTGTTTATTTTTAGGATCAAACATCCCTACCAGACTGTCATATCTTCCTCCTCCAGCTACAGATCCAACTGATATCTCATCTTTGGCTAGTTCGTCCTTTTGTAATACTGCTTCATAAATTACCCCTGTATAATAATCTAGACCTCTAGCTAGACTTAAATCAAAAATAATTTTATCTGATGTGTCATATAATTCACAATATTTAAGTAGTACTTGCATAGCTTCTAAACCCTCTAAAGCATTTTTATTTTTGTTGAGAACTTCATCTGCCATTAATTTGTCTACTAAATCCATCTTACCATTTAGCCTTACATATTCACCAATTTTATCTGCAGACTCTGATGAAAGATTCTTCTCTTCTATCATTTCTTTCCTTACTTCTTCCCAAGGAGACTTATCCAATTTATCAATAGCTGAACATGTGGCTCTTATACTATCCAAAGGAACTCCACATACTTCTAAAATGCCATCTAACAATTTTCTATGATTAAGTTTTATTACAAATGGAGTCATATTTAAGGTAGACAGAATTTCATAGACAATTTTTACACATTCAGCATCTGGTATCATGGGATCATAGGCACCAGCTATATCAAAATCGCACTGATAAAATTCTCTGTATCTTCCTTTAGTTATTGAAGGATTATCTCTTCTATATACCTTTGCAATATGGTAACGTTTGATGTTTGTAATCTTATTCATTGCAAGATATCTTGCAAAAGGTACAGTGAGGTCATAGCGAAGAGACAGTATTTCGCCTCCTTGATCTTTTAAATCATAAATAAGCTTAGAATCTTCACCATATTTTCCAGTTAACACTTCTTTTAATTCAAAGACAGGAGTATCAATAGTCACAGCTCCATGTTTTTTAAATACTGACACAATTTTATCCACCACATTTAATCTAAGAGCCATTTGGTCAGGGGCAAAATCCCTCGTGCCCTTGGGTGTTTTAAGGGTGAACTTTTGATTACCACAGATTTCATCATCCTCTCCAACTAACTGTGATTTTAATTCAAGAAGTTTGGTTACCTCTTCGGTGATTTTTTCTTTCGACTCTTTGGCAGACTTCAATTTTCTTATAAGATCACCTTGTTCTTTTATTTTTTCTTCTAAAACTTGTTTTGAGAGCATTGTTGAAAAATTATAGACGGAAGTGAAAGGCCTGCTTAACTTTGCGAACATATGCCAACGTGAACATACGGTTAAATTCATCATGTAAATGTTGGTACAACTGAAAAATGTGTACTGTCAAATAATTTAGTTTTAGGCATATTCACAGGAACTTAAAAATAAAAAGCAATAAAATTGGTCGTTCTCCAAATATTAGTAAAATAGCGATAATTATCTTGTCTGCCAATTTATAAAAATTGTATAAGCAGTTTTTTTTTAAATAATATATATTAAGATGCATAAACACGAATACAAGAAGTCACTTTGAAAAAAATAAGATTACGTTTTACATTTTGTCTAAAACATTTCACAACACGCATTTCTTCCAAAAATCGTTAATGTAACGATTTCATTGTTAAATGTTACGCACCTTCGGACATCTTATATATAACTTGCCTCAACTTAATAATAAAGAATTGACTTTTGTTTTACTTTGGCTTATTTTTTAGAGATTATTTACATATTCTCTGTATCATAATTTGTTGTTTTACTAAGTCTATAGATAGTTTTCTGCGAAATATTTAATTCCTCTGCATCCATTTGATTGTTCCTCTTTCCAAGAGTCTCACAAATAGATTTGTGTTTTTTAAAATAGGAAACTACGTTCAGGATTAAAGGTTTTGATTGATCACTAAATCGTTTCACCATTTTATTGAATACTAATAAAAACTTTTGAAATATCAAAATATACAATTTTTTAACAAATTGACAAATTCAAAATTATTTTGATAACTGACACCAGACCTAATATGATGTAATTAATATACGACGTGCCAATATTTAGTAACTTTTTGTTTCATCCATTTTATATTTAAATAATAAAGAAAACGAATGGACTTGGGGTATTTCCAAGACTTTATGTCGCAACCTTTTTTACCTTTTAAACATACCAAACCTAGCACCGCGTTTCATTTTTTTGGAATCCTAATAGTAGTCGCCAAGTCCGCAAATTAATGAAAAATGTATAAGCGGTTTTTTTAATAATAGTTTCATTGTTTTCAACATAAAATATTTAAATTTAATCGATTGATTATACATGAGTTCTTTTATAGAGTTTATTGCATGTTGCAACATCCACTGTCTGGAAGGCCCAATTTTCGTAAGAAAATGGCTAAATAATTAAGAAACTTGTCAATTGTGGTGTCAAAAGAAAATGTCAAATCCTTGTTTTCATTTCTGTCACTGTCATTCGTCCATGGATGGAAGAATGATGATGGAAATGTTGAAAATGTGACTTTTGTAATTAAAAACTTTAAATTTTAATTTAATTTTTTCAGCAAAGTTGGAAATGGCTCTGCATAAGTAATTAAGAGCGTACCAATTAGATATTCTGAACACGTGTTGTTATCTTAACCTACAAAATGTCTCTCCCGGTTGCAAGTAATTTTTTATATTTGATTTTCTAGTTAAATTAACTAACATTTTATATTTTCAGCTCGTAGTTCTTCTGGACTCAATTTGTTTTCTGGACCACCAGCGTTTGGAGATGTTAAAGAATTTTCACCTCTTCAAACTAAAGTATGTCGTACCATGCTCTTTAGCCCAGATGGGAAATATTTCGCTTATATTAATGGACAAACGTAAGTTTTAATATATCTGTTATTTATTGTAAATATACAAAAGCAGGCTTAATATACATAATTTAAGGGATAATCAGTTAAACAAGGTATGTTTTTAAAAGAGAATGATTATGAATAATTTAATTATGGTTTTAAAATAATGTAAGACATATTTTAGTAAATACTTTTAAGTTACCTTTTTAAAATAAGGAAGAGCTTGGCTAATTTTTCATCCTTTAACCAATGCTTTTTTCTTATTTTCTTGTGGTTGGTTAATAAAGACATTTGTCATTGTTTAGTTTAAGCTCTTTTCGCTTATGAAAAAAACTAAGCATACCTATCACTATTATTGTCAACAAAAATTCATATCTTGTGAAAATTAATAATAATGACAATTACTTTTTAAATTCATAATATTTTACAAATTGTCTCGAAGCTTAGAGATGTTACTTTTACATCTTACACTGTTGCCAAGTCGAACAGAAAGTTTATTATCAAAAGTACAGCAATTCATTTCTAATAATTTTCCTTGCCCTAACAATTTCTTATAATTTTGCTATTGATGTTGTTTGAACCACCCAGAACCCCTAATCACTCCCTTTCCCGTAAAATTGATAAAATGAAAAACAAAAGGCATATTTTTATTTAAAAAATTTATTTGTGTCATTATTCATTTGTACAAGATATGGAACTTAAGTTTTTTGTTTACATTAGCAATATCGACAAGTACTTATGCTTACTTTTTCTGTAATCGAAAAGAGCTCAAACTAGACATTTACCAAGACATTTATTATTATTATTATTAACTTTGAAAATAAAAAAAATATGTTCTATGATTTAATTTTTTTTTAGATTGAAATTTGTACAAACAGAAAACTGGAATAATAGTTCAACTGTTGAAAATGTTAAAGCATATCATTTGTCATTCTCCCCAAAAGGTACTTTTTTAATGAGCTGGGAACCTTTTACAGTTAACAAAGCTAATCCAGAAGGAAGTCCAAATTTAAAAATTTATAAATCAGAAAATGGAGAACTTGTAAAAACTTTTGTCCACAAGAAACAAGCTAATTGGTAATGTATACACAATTTTAGTTTCAACTAGAAGTACTGGGGATGGGTTGGCTAAGTGGTTAGAGTCATGACTTTGAGATTGAAGGGTCTCAGATTAATTAATAATTCTAATGCATAAGTAGGAGTCCTCATTTGACCATTCACCATTGGGTCCTGATTAACAGTGCTGTTCCTAAAGTGGCGCTGGGAAACAGTAGTAAAGCCTACACAGAACACAAAGCTAATAACCTAAGTAGTTGATGCTTTGACACAAAAAAAAAGAAATACTTTGCAGTAAATCTATAACTATTATTTACTTTTGTAAAATAGATTTATAGATGGTCTCAAATCAATACCTTGTAAGTCCGAAATTTCGTATTTTTACAAATTAATTTAGAATAAAAATTTTAAAAATAAAATAACCTCATTCATAGGTTACTCATATATTTATTAACTTGTCAACATTATTTATCAAATATTTAATTGGCTCTATTAAGCAATCAAGACAGTTTAACGTTCCTCCTATAAAATGTTTAATTTGGACATACAAGGTATTGATTTGAAACCGTCAATATGATGTGTTAAAATGATCACGTCACTAGTTTGTTAGGTTTAAATTGTTTTTTGTACATTTTCATTTTAATTGCAACTTTCAGTCATATCTAAAATCAATATGCACTATTTTGGTACAATTGAGTAACTCATAGTTATAAAATGTAGTTGACCTAGTATTAAAATGGTTAAATTATTGCCTAATGTAATATTTTATCTAGGGAACCACAATGGAGTGCTGATGAAAAATTATTTTCACGAGTAGTAAATACTGATGTTGTGTTTTATGAAGATCTTAACTTTGAAAAAATTGTAGCTAGAATCAATAGCTACAAAGTAGCATCATACAAATTATCTCCCAACATTGGAGTTTACTTCATTTTATGTCATACACCAGGAAGTCCTGGACAACCATCATTTGGAAGGTTATTTAAGTATCCTAATTTTGAAGCTGCCCAGGCTATTGCAAATAAAAGCTTTTTCCAAGCTGATAAAGTAGAGTTTATCTGGAACTCAAAAGGAAATAATGCTCTAATTCTAACTTCTACAGAAGTTGATAAAACAGGAGGCTCTTATTATGGAAAACAAGGACTGCATTTTGTTGGATTAAATGGCCAAACTTCAATTATAACTTTAAGTAAGTAATTAATTAATATTTGGTAGTTAGAAACTAAAATTTTGAATCTACAACATTGTCTGAAACTTTTAAACTGTTGAGATAAATATTTATTTTGGTTGCAGGCAAAGAAGGGCCAATCTACAATGTACAGTGGTCCCCTAAAAACCAAGAGTTTTCTGTAGTTTATGGTTTTATGCCAGCCAAAGCTACTGTTTTCAATTTGAAATGTGAACCTATATTTGAATTGGGATCAGGTCCCAAAAATTCTATTTTCTACAATCCACACGGGAATATATTACTTTTGGGAGGTTTTGGTAATTTGCGAGGTCAGGTTGAAATGTGGGACACAGTTAACTGGAAAAAAATTAGCAGCTGTGATGCACCTGATACCACACTGCTACATTGGGCTGCAGATGGAGAACATTTTCTAACAGCAACTACTGCTCCTAGATTAAGAATTGCCAATGGGTTTAAAATTTGGCATTACTCTGGAGTCTTGTTGTTTGAAAAAACATTTAGTGAACCACAAGAACTTTATGATGTTGTTTGGAAGGTACGTATTAATTAAGGACAAAAAGAAAAATTAAAAATACTGTAAAAAATTTATCCCAAAGATGTATTTACCTAGTGAAGAGAATTTTATTCCTTGTGTAGGCATCAACAACTCATTCATAAATTTGATTTTTAAGCATGTCAAGTTAAAACACACTGTATAATTTCAAGTGTTTGTACACTCCGAGCTTAATTTTTTACTCTTTTATTTAGCAATGTAAAATGTTTAAAGGTCCAAGTGATCATCTTGAAAAATCTGAACGAACCAAGCTCCTCTCTTCTATTCACTGTGTCTATAACCTAGGCGGCTTCAGCTATTTTTGTCGTCCTGTAAACTACTATAAGTTCTCTCTATAAAATCCATTGTTTAATTATTATAAAAATTTGACAGAACAAATTTAAATGGTTCCAAGAAACATTTTTAGAAATAAAAAATAGATTTTCCCTCAATTTTAATTCAGTTTGGTAGTTTTTTAATGAATTTTAGTTTTTATATTCCTATTTTTATTATACATAATTTATAATTATTTAATTAGAATTTTTTCTTTGATAATAAAGTATTTAAATTACTTTCCTTGTCTCATTCTTTCATTCATATTGTAACAAATGGTTTATTTCCGAAATAACTAAAAGATTTTAATCATAAAAAATAGCTATTAAATTCCTAATATTTTTGTTTAATCTGCTCCTTTAAATATAAAAATATCAAATTTGAGGTATCTATACATAGTAAGAGTACCTACTCTATGTAAGAGACTGTTAGGCTTTAGAAATAAATACAAATAAAAAAAATATATTTTATAGAATTATCCAAAAGGAACTTTCCAAGAACCTATCATTTCTTTGAAGAAGATTGAAGGTATTACTCCAAGTCAGCCACAAGCTTCTGTACAAGCTTATAGACCTCCTTCAGCTCGTAATCGTCCTGTTGTTAAATTTACTTTACATGATGATGAGGAATCTGCTCATAAACCAGGTAATATTTTTTCAGTGTACCTTTATATCAAAATAAGTGGATTTTATGTATTTATTTCTTTTTTTATTAGTGTTAAAAGTGTCATTTTATTTTATGTAAAGTATATAATGCCTTTTTTAATAAGTATATTTTTTACAGCCAAAATAGGCAAATAAGTGAAAGATCATATTATAAAAAATCCCATTAGGCATTCGACCTGTCCAACTGGTTGCCTATTGGCTTTGGCAGGGTCAATGATATACATGTTAACAGAAAGGATGATTAATCCCTGATAAAAAGTCTAAACTACTTTTTAAATGGTTTAATTCATGACCAAGTATTCTCAAAATATAATGGTGTGGTACTGCCACTGTCTATTCACGTACTACTTACTGGTCTTCCTTCTCCAGGTCGTTCATCCTGACATGCATGTATATGGACCTCAAGAATATGTAGTGGTAGTAAAGGCACACATATATCTGGAATTATAGAATACAAAAACAGAACTACTGTTATGACTTACGAACATTATCATTAATGTTCTTTTTAGGCTCTAGATGATTTATGGCAAGTGGTACTGCTACTTATATTTTATTTACTCAATTAAATTTGGTAGGATTGCCACCCTAACACTCAACACTAGTGTAAAAACACTAAACACATGTTTTATTCAGTTAAATTTGGTGGGATTACCACCCTAAGTTAACTAAAACAATTTAATTAAATATTGTGGGATTGCCACTCACCGTTTTTATAATTACTGCGATTACCATAGACTTAAATGATCCTGAGCGGCTACGGTCGTTCACTGGGCCGTTTGTGAAGTTGATATCTTTAATATGGTAATACCTTTTGAGCAGTGTAAGGCCCTTTGTATTTTGGCCTTAGTTTTCTTCCACCTATATTGTGTGAATCTTCAATGGCCACGATATCGCCTGGTTTAAATAATGTGACCCGGCGCCTAGTTTCATTGAGTCGTTGACCTTGACGGTCATCAATTTTCTTTAACCCATTATTTTTTTCACGTAAGAAATTGCGCCGCGAGAGGCATAACATATTTCCGAAGTTTTGTTTTGGTTATGATCATGTCCTTCTCAACAGTTAGGTCAATGTCAAAGACCGGCCTATTAATTATATGATGACAAAAGGTATCACTATGCTGGAAATCTCGGAGCGTACTCTTATCGGTAATTTTATTGTTTTTAACGGGCAACTTTTAACCCTGTTACATTATCCACTGGATTTGTGCAGGGTGGTACTCAATAGAGAAGTTGTAATCCTGTAATTTAACGCACCAACTCGCCACGTGGGTATATTATGCTTTCTTTACAGCTGTTGCTCAAACTGAATATATTCTACGAAATGCACACTGTAAAGGTACACACGATAGTGTACAACCGCTTCCACTATAGCAAAAGTCTCTAGATTGCAAGAATCAGTCGTACGGCGACTATAGTATGCAACAAAGGAAGTTATGTATTTAAAACTTTCTTCAATTTCCATTTGATAAAAGCATGGCTTCTTGTCCAACGTGGTAAAATATTTTGCCATACAAAAAGCATTAATTCGATCTTCAATACTTTTTTGCTTACTAGCACAATAGTACTTGCATATTTTATAATATAATATTAATCTCTATAGTTTACTCTCTTATGAGTGAATGTAAACCCCTGAACCCGACTGAGCGACTCGTATAGGGGTAGGGACGGATATTATTATTATTGTTGTTTGCCGTGATGCTCTGGGGCAACTTAAAGATGATTGATGGTGCAATTTGACTTACTGGCGAGGAAAACCTTACCCATCATTTTGAGTGACTTCTGCGGATAATTGTACTGTTTATAATTATCTTTAGCTGAATTCTGTCTTGATACGCTAGTCATCTTGGTCGATACGCTATTTTAATCTAATTGACATTTATTCGGTAGTTATGTGGTTAGGAGTGTTTTGTCTCGTAAAATGTTAAAAGTTAACACATAAACAAGGTCGGCATTTGACATTGCATCCAATAATATCATGAACGTCTTCTGTAATCACACTATTTGGAACGACTGCGAAACGTATCTCTAAAGGTACGTTTACATCTGACATTTATTGCATGAGATTTATGTCTGACAGTTGTTTAGTCCAGTGTAAACACTCAAACATATATTTCTGGGAGAAATATTTGTGTGCATTTTCGTCAGTTATCCTAGTCGTTCTTATGTGGAAATTATAAAATAAAATTTTTGTATTCTTTTCAATTTTGTTTTTATTTAAAATAAGTAACAGCAGTAAACTATAGCAGGGACAGAAGTTGGAAAGGCTTGTGCCAGTTCTCCCACTCAATACACAGGATTTGTCAGTTTTGCTGAAGTGAACAGGAAACATTGACATAGAAAATTATTTTATAAATGCTAATAACAATTTTTTAGCTGTTCAAATTTTGTAGACTTTGGGATGTTATTATTTGTTTAAATTATTATTTATATTTATAAAGATACATAATAATTTAAAATGTTTGGTATTATTTTTATTCTGCGATACGATACTGTCAAAGAAACATCACCGATTATCTCCCCCTTCACCTTAAAATCACCGATTATCATCTCTCTACCTACCAAAAGCCTTTCAAACTTATGTCCCTGCTATCTTCTTTCCTCAGTTTAATAAGTAAATAATTTTAGGAAAAGAAGCGGCTCCATCCAAGGCCAGTTTGAAACAAAAAAAGAAACGTGAAGCCAAGAAGGCAAAGAAATTGGACGGAGAAGATGAGTCAAAAGGACCATCAGTTGTTAGCAGTGTTGCAGTGACATTGACTGGAGACCCTGAAGTTGATAAAAAGTTAAAGACAATTAAAAAGGTAGAATAATTAAAATTTTGTTCAGTCATCAAGTTATTGAAATTAAATACCTTTTTATTTAGTTTGATACCCATATGAAAATATAATAATCATCATAATGAAAATATTGATTTTTTTAGAAACTTGACGCAATCGAAAAATTGAAAATTCAACAGGCAGAAGGAAAACCATTGGAAATCAACCAAATTGAAAAATTAAAAGGTGAAGCTGATTTGTTGAAAGAATTGGATAGCCTAAAAGTGTGATTTATTTTGCAACTTATTTCAATTGTTTTATTTTTTTATTATAAAACTTACTGATTATATGTTTGTTAAAAGTTTAATATTTTTTTTTTCTAATATAAATTGCTAGCACTTTTTCCCTATTTTGATCTCAATTTTAAATATCCAAGGAGTCAAATGAACAGACAATAAAATTGATTAACATAGTTATATTACAATAAATTACTATAATAGAAATAGTATAAAATAATTGTTTCATTTTCGATTAATTGATATAATATGTAGATTAATAAGCATTATTGCACCAATATAAATATCCATACTTACTTAATTAAATTACAATACACACAAAAAAGGAAGATCTTTTAATGACATGATTAATAACATCTTATCACAGAAATGATTTTTTTGTCATTTTAAATTACGTTCTTTACGTGCAAGAAATGAATTTAAGTTTTCAAGAAGTAGATGATACATTAAATATCTTTTTCTCGATGCTGTCTACTGCATCCATGAGAATAGTAGATTCATCGACTTTCATACCCTGTTTTTGAAGATTTGTTAATCTATTTTTAATTTCTTCTGGATTTCTACCATTTTGATCCCATAATTTGACACAGGTTTGTAACAAAGGAATATATAATTCAAGTAAATCACTATCACTAACTCCTTCGTATCTGTGAATTGCCAAATCTGCCCATTTCAATGCCTCGGGAAAATCTGACATTAATTCTACACAAGCAATTAAACGATTTAGGGCTAGTATAACTGCAGGCGATCGGTCTGTATACACCTAAAATAATATAAAAAAAAATAAATTAAAATCAAAGCCATATGTCACTAAATAATATTAGAGCATTTTCCCCCAAACAACAACTCCTTTGGCTAATATCACAACGGGCAATTGAATTATATCTAAGGCTTTGATTTTTCTTGGATGGCGTATTGTTCTTCCTCATTAGAACTCAGCAGCAACAAATAGACATCTCGCTTTCACTCTGTAATTTATTTTATTTATTCACGGGCCTTGCCCACTTTCAGTACAAAGTTACAAAAAACAACCTCAAATAGAGTAAATCTAAATAATATGACATAATAATAAACTAACAACAAAAATCAATATATTAACATACAAAATCGAAACAACTAATATTAAGACTAGGGAATTTAAATCACAGTAAGTTTTAACACCCTCACAAAATTAGAAAAGCTTGAATTAAAAAATTCTAGACTATCAGCACAAGCATTAGCGCTTCGTGAAACTCTAGGCATGAATGAATTGAGGCCAATATTAGTTCTCATGTAGGGCTGATGAAAACTGTTTATTGATCTTGTACTTCTAGTTGGGGCTGCCAACAACATGCTTGAAATCAATGTATAATAACCATATAATTAATGAGCTTAAAAAATAATTTCAGATCTACCTGATTACTTATTCGCAAAGTTGGTAAGGAGAATGTCTCTTGCAGTGCCGCAAAATCATAGGAAGTCATCTATCCATGGAATATTTGATTTAAATGCTAAATAGTGAAAAAAAAATTTTCTCTGAACCTGTTCTAATCTATGAATGTGACAAGTATACTGGGGGTTCCAGACTGAAGAGCAATATCCTAACAGAGGCCTAACAAGACTACAGTACAATAACCTGACAGCATTAATACTTGTAAAGTCTGATGTGTTTCTCTTTATAAACCCAAGCATACCAAGTGCTCTGGGTACTATTGTGTCAATGTGATTGACAAATGAGAGTGTGGAGTCCATAATAACACCCAGACCTCGAATGGATGCAACTTGGAAAACTGGTGTACCCTTGATATTATATTGATAATCAATCCTGTTGATCTTCCTAGTAAAGGATATCGAGTGACACTTAGTGATGTTTAGGTCCATAGCATTATTCGCACACCACTCATAAAGCCTAGCCAGATCAGTCTGAAGTTTGAAACAATCCTCAAGAGATGAAACTGCTAGGTAGCACTTTAGGTCATCAGCAAAGCATAAAAATTTGGCAAACTTGAAACATTCTGAGATATTATTTATAAATAATAAAAATAAACCCTTGGGGGACTCCAGATGGATTGGAAATGTTTTTAGATCTGTAATTATTCAATTTAACAGTTTGGAATCTCAGATAAATAACTCGCCAGCCATTGCAATAATTTTCCCATGATCCCAGCAGACTCGTTTATTTAACAAAAGTTTGTGATTGACCCTGTCGAACGCCTTGGAAAAGTCTGTGTATATGGCATGCACTTCACCACCTCCATCCGACAGATGTTCAACAAAAGCAAGTAAATTTAGTTCTGTAGATTTTCTGTTAAACACAAATTGTTCTTCTATTATTGACAAACTTAATTTAGTCCTTAAGTAATCAGCTAATATCTTTTCAAACAACTTTGGAATGGAACTAAGATTACAGATGAGTCTATAGTTGGATATGTCTGCTCTGTTACCAGACTTGAAAATAGGTGTATGATAGCTCACTTTCCAGAAATCTGGGAATAAGCCCGAAGCAAGAGACTTATTAAATATAATGTGAAGTGGCTGCAAGAGAACAACACTACAAAATCTGAGAACAGAAGGGGGGATACCATTATAGTAATTATAAACAACAGGTTATTTCTTTAATCTGGTGCGTAACAATGTAATAAAAAAAACCCTTAAGATGGTTGGTAAATAATATAAATGAATTCTTAATATTGAAGTAAACACAATGGGTTCTATAAGGATTATTGGTTGGGGTTCGGCTTTGGGGGATAGGGTCGAAATATTGAAACTAAACTTGGTATATGGATGTATTATCCCATAAAAATAAAAATCGCTTTAAAAAATTCACCCCTATCTGATATGGTGAGGGTGGCATTCCCAAAAAATTAAGTTAGAACTTTTTAAATAAAACAGTTGAAGTCTACGATTTTTTATACATAAAAACACAAAATTCCATTTTTTTTGAAAAAAATTTTCCAATTTTTTTTTGGACTTAGAAAAAATTTCGACTTTAATCTTCATAGTTCGGATGTGGGGGCTGGCATTTAAAAATAGTTACAAATACATAAAAATCTAATTTTTGGCATATTTACAATAGAAATGATTTGCAACATTTTTGTATAAATATCTTACCACCACCATCCCCTAGAGTAAGATGGAGGGGGTGTGGCATCCCCAAAAAATCAAGTTAGAACTTAAAAAAAAAAAACAGTTAAAATCTACAATTTTTTATACATATAAACCCAAAATTTCAATTTTTAAATCAAATTAAGAAATTAAATTATTTTTTTAATTTCTTTATTATATTTAATATTATTTCTACTTTTTCTAACAATAATCAATTTAAGATATCTACTTTGATTGAGTTAAAATATTTAGTAGAGGAAGTTTTTAATATTATACAAACATACTGTGTGTCCAAAAAAAATATATGAATTTGGCTAAACATTAACCTTTATTTCTAAAAACAGGAGAACAATGTTACTTGAAAAATGTATCTAGAATTAATATTTACCACCATCAAATCCTGGACCTGGACACAATTTTTTTTTAGCAATACGGGAGAAGCGGAAGTGACATTTTTACAAATGAAATTAATTTCAACAAATTTATTTGAGATCATGTACAAGATTATTCATTATTAAAGACGCCTTTTATAACCACTATTGCATATTTAAAAAAAGCTTTAAATAAAAGTTTGTGAATATGACTGACTTTTTTTTAAATATACCATAAAAACACATATTCAGATTTCACGGAATACAACACAAATACACTTTTTTAAATGGGATACCCTCTATGTTATTAAATTTCTGGTATATTTTTTTTCTAATTTCACAAATGTATATTATTGATAACCCTATCTTATACCGTCTGTTCTCGAGTAATTTAACGTTGATAATGTAAACATGAAAAAGTTAACATTATTAAAGTAAAAGCTATGAAAATCACAACTATTATGTTTGATAATAAAATAATCCAAATAGGTAGTTTACAGTGAGAAAGAAAAGTGTAAATATTTATAAGATATTCGACATAGATTATCTATGATATTCGACGTTTAATTAATCAGGAAAGAATAAAGATCATTTCGAAAATTGAATAAAATATATATCTATGCTATGCTTATTAAAAAATATTCATGTTAAATCCTGTGAAATATGCACACCACTGATATGGTCATTTGTTGACATTTTTACAAAATTCGGTCAATGTAAACATTATACAATAATAATTATAGCATAAAGGGAGGGTAATTTATAATGAATAACTCTGTTAGGTACCATAAATTTTCAGTAAAAAAATTTTAATTCGCACTTTTTTACGTAGATTAAAGAAAAATGTAATTTTGTGCGTTTTCTTGGTGCAGACATTTTGCGACACACTGTATATTCAAATCCAAAATGATGTATTTTCTTTTAACACATACCTAATACAAATTTATTAGCAAAATTTAAATACTTGTTATTTTCGGTATATTTCTCCTTTAGACACACACATTTTTAGTTTCATTGTCAAAAGATTTAAATAAAATTACCGGACCTTATAATATTCTATTATAATTTGATGATCCCGAGTGGCCATAGCAAAAAGACGAAATTTGAGCATGAAGATTTAGATGTCATTAACGTAAAATTAATGTTTTGAAATTAATTTAAGTTTTACCAATTTAGAAAATAAAATTAAATAATAAAAAAAAGTGTCCACACGGGGGTTTGAACTAGGAACCCTTCGTTTCGTAGACAAGTACTCTAAATTTTCGTTATGAAGACTTATGAAAAGTTTTACTTTTTAACGCTGATAATCAGACTGCTTTTAGTTTCATTAAAATCTCAGTTTATTTCTCAATATAGACGAATATCTTGTGGAATGCTATTATTTATTGATTCTTTACAAGAATCACTAATTTTTATTTATATTTAATCTAAATAACTAAAAAAAATATATACTGACAATTAATTTGACGGAATTGTCACTTATAAAGTTCTAACATCTAACCAGTAAATAAAATCGTTAATTCAATGATTGTACCAATAGATGTCGGGCGCGATTGCCTCCAATAACTTTTACATGGCGATTATCCTAGTATAGTTCTTTATACAATGTCAGTATATACTTACTGGAAGTATTCTGCAAAAAGATCAGGTAAATCTGGTCCCAAAGGATATTGACTATTATTAAAGAATAGCAATGTTGGTAAATCATTCCCATTCCACTTACTTTTAACAAAATTCCAAAACTGTTTTATGTTTCTATGGTCTGTTAAAGAAAACTCAGAATTTACAATAAACTGTTGATAGCACCTAATAGCATGTAATTTACTATAGTTAACATAATCACTTTGTAATCCTGAAATTTTAAATTTTTTGTGAGCTTGTTTTTTCAATATTCTTTTGGATGCTTTTTTCTGTGGATAGCATGGATACAAAAATAGAGAATATCATAAAAAATGGAAGCTATAGACAGTGTTGCTAACCTAGAGTGGTAAAAAATCCTTGTGACTTTCATTAAAAAGTTTCTTGATTTATAATACAAAAAAGTGTTCTATTTTTAATATATTTTATTTTTGTTGAATTAAATACAACTACAACACATTTCAATAACAGTTACTGAGTGAAATATGTGAGTAAAATTAAAACAACAGATAACAAAAAAGATTACACATGCCAGGCGGAATATCAGCCAGGAAACAAGTGGGCAATTTAAAAAAAATAAAATAAATAGGTATTTCACATAATTTCTGAATTGGGTACTTTGGTTTTGTTTACTAAATGGCGCTACTTTTTGACTTATTTTATTCAACCAACATCAATATAAGTGAATTTTAGGAATTTACAGCTTTCATTAGAGAATGGATGCAAGAATATTCATTTCTTGCTGAAAACTCCTCTAACAGTGTTGCCAGCTCTCTTACGTTTGCAATCCATTTATTATAAAGTACCATTTACATATGAGGATCATATGTGACCTCTCAGGGGCTAGATTCACAATTATGAGTATATTGTAAGAATATTAGTCAACAATATACCTATTTAAAATGGTTCATTCACATTTATTCTAAATGAAGCATAGTGGCCTCTAGATAGTTTTTTTTTTCATTTAGAGTTCAGGAATTTGTATCATCACAACTATTCTGATTTGATAAAAAAATATGAATTCACCAATTTTTAAACAATTATGTATTCTATTTTTCAAATTTTTGATCTTGTCTTTCTCATATACAGTGAACATGCTTTTATTTCTTTTTGTTCAAATTATATAATACCATTACAAAAATTACCTACATTAAAAAAAAAAGAAATTATCTTAATTGGAAATTCTTATTTTATTCATGCCAATTTTTTAATTAATTTTCCAATGAATTAGTAAATAAGTTGACTATGGATAATTCTGAAGCATTTTGTTCTAACTGTAGTCCTGCTAAAATTTATTATTTTGACACAAAATTTGTATGATTTATGTACAATCAAACTGTAATAAGTAACTAATTATTCTGGATATTGAAATCTAGTAAAACATGATAAATACTAAAAACAAACTTAAATTGTATTCACAGGAAGTAAATATGGGTTTTACAGATCAATGTAATAAAAATATAAATAGAGGCATTAGGTTTATCCTACCTTATTTAGTAATTTTAAGCTATTTTCCAAAATTGGATAAGCCAGTGAGGCTTCCTTGTTTTTGAAAAATTCTTTTGCTTGATTCAACTCCACATTCTGAAGAAATGCCAAAAGTGCATGAGAATTTCGCAGTCGACTTTCAGTAGAGATATATTTTAAAAGAGATTCAAAACCTGTACTTCTAGTCGAGATAAGTTCATTGTCAAAATTTCCTAATATAACTTTCTTCGGAAATTCGACATTATTCATGAGATTTGGATGTTCATTTTTAAGGGAAGTGTATAAATCCAAAAAGTGAGTATATCGTCTTTCAATAATTGAGGGATTTAGGTCATCATTCTCAGAAATATATCTAATTTGTAAGGAATAGATAACATGCTTCTTTTCATCTGTGTTTCCGGCTATTTTAGAAGATCTAATTTCAAAAATAAGACCTTTCTTTTCACTACCTGAAATTAGAAAGGTCATTTTAAATATAGGTTGTTAGAATATACAAATAACTGGTGGAAAAATCAAGCAAATAGTAGGATGCATTTCCATTGCAATATTGTTAAGCTAGATTGTATACATTTGCTTTGAAGGCATATATAGATTTGTTCTTTTAAAGTTAATGAAATTAGATGAACACAAGCAATTCAGTATCATATAAGTAGGTACCATAAGTTTAAGGGAAAAAAATTTGAACTGTTCAAATAAAACTAAAGAAAATCAGACTTCATTTAATTCTACGAAACTAGACTCCAAATTTAATCCATTTAATCTACCCTATAGTAGTAGTAATGATTGTAAAATAGCTCTTTTAGACTTAGATCAGACAAAAGATTAGTCTATGGAGAATTGTTAAAGATAGTGTTAAATAATGAAAACATAATTAAATACAAGCAGCTCTTTTGATTAAAAAAAATCTTACCCATAATCTGAGTCATGGTAATGATTATACATACTGATTATTTATAAACATTTGATTTGAAGTAAACGGAAACGTACATTCACATTCCTCTCCTTTATTTTCAATTTGAATACAGTGTGAATGTAGCTACACTCTGCATATGACATATTCATTCATAGTCTTCTTTTTAAGTTGTAATTAAATAGTTGTCATAATCTTTGTCAGTATTCAGTAACAAAGATTATGAGTAACCAGAGTGTTAATTCCTATCTTTTAAATATGGGTCTGTCACGAAATAGCGCCCAATCAAAATAGCGCGTTTCAAAAGAGTCAGTTAACACCTCCGAGCATCAACTTCAAAAAAATCAAAGTACCACTCAAGTCGCCATTTTCATTATACTTTTCTGTCACTCGAAGTTTGTCCATCTGCCATATCGCAAAATAGTGTTTATGTCGTCTCTACTTTATTCTAACTCGATGGTTTAGTCCGATTAGTGACAGTTCAACAAAAAACTCCGCTCCTTTTCAGTTCGAGTCCATCGCCAAACCGAACGCTACCAGTGGCGGCTCGTGAGCTGCGAAGATAAGGGGCGCCAATTGGATTGAAGGTGGGGAATATGGAAAATTTTGTATTTATTTATTTTGTATTTTTTTATTAACAGAAAAAATACCACTCTACACACTGCGCCTTGTCAATAGTCAATAAACAAATTGAAATATGTTTTTTATAGTAAAACATAAATATTACAAAAATAATTTTTATAAAAAAAAGCAAACATGAAAATAGACATATTTATATTGTTTTTAATTTTTGTTTTTACGAAAGTTCATGGCATCACTCACATCCTGAAATTGAAATCTGCTATACGATCCCTCATTGAAATAACATTTTCCATTACTTTTTCGTCGAAATTATTTATCTCCTGGATTACATTTCTATTTATTGATATCATAGCTAAGGTGTTTAATCAATCATTTAGCAAGGTGCTTCGTAAAAATTCCGTGAAAACTATAAAACAACTTTAAAAAGCAAAACGGTCGCATGTCGTCTCATCTTCTAAATGCTGGTCCGCCAGATCCGCCACGAAAAAATTGCGCCCTAATCTGCACTAAAACAGCCGTTAGCACGTGTCCCACTACGTTTTCATGGTGCCGCGGGCCTCAATCTTACTGCGGCCGTCTATAGTCCAGTCAAAGAATTGTTATTATAGGAAGCATAGGAAGGATTTGGAGGGGGCATAATAAATAACACTCGCATGTGTCGAGATGATAGGAAAAATTATAAAATAAACAAATAAATAATATTTAGTTATTATTTTATTCTCTGGTATCTCTTACTGAGAATGGGCGCGCTGCCTTAAAGAGTAGCCGCCCCTGCCTTTATACAGAGTTACACGCCCCTTATCTGACAAAACGGTCTAACGATCCTGTTATTGTATCCTTGCTTGTCTAGCTATCCAAGGTCTAAGTGTACAGCTGTTTTTTTGGTGTCAGACGTCAGAGTATTGTCAGTGTCAAATGTGTCCGATGATAATTTTGCCTTCACCAAAACTGCCGATTGAATGAGTATTCAGAAGTCTAGCCTAATTTAAAAATTAGATTATTGAAAAGAAACATTATTTAAAATAAAATATTTAATGGCAGTAAGCTGGAACCAATGGTTTTTAAGTTTAAGACAGAGCGGAGCGCCTAACTGCAATGGCTAATTTGAAGATAAAATAAGTATAACTTAATTTTTCATAGTCCCAAGAAAAATGCTGTGAAAATTAGTTAATGGTATTTAGAAAATTAGTTAATGGTATTTAGAAAATTTAGTAAATATTTTCTTCGTATAAACTATACGAGGGGAAATTAATTTTCAGTAAGTTTAACATAGAGGAATTCAGAATATTGTTACAAATAGGTATATATTCAACCTCAATTTGCTATTAAACAGTTTTTTATAAAAGGAGGTGTATTTATTAATATTACATAACTGAAAACATTATTTTTAGGTAATTTCAAAATGACTGATGTATTGACTCACACTATAAATTGGAAAGAATTTGCATGTGGTTGGGGAGCAGCTTTTATAAATGTTACAATTACATATCCAATCAATAAATTAATTTTTCGACAGGTAGGTTACCTATATTCTTTTAAAATTTAACTTAAAAACGTGCTACTGGTGCAAAAGGAGAGGTACAGTTATATATTTACTTTATTATATATCCAATTCATGGTATATTCAAAATTACATAAATTCAAAAACTGCATCTGAAAATGAAAATCTGGCTTAAAGAATTACAAGATTCTAAAGCTGAAAATATGACAAAAAATTTAGTCAATGCTATAATAATGTACTGCTTGTTAAGTCAAGAACACCTTTAGTGCCAAAAGTTATGTTCCAATAAGGTGTTTGAGAATTTTTAATATGCCTGAGAAAACCAAAGAAGATACCAGAAGTGAAGTAATTAAAATTATAAATGCCAGAATGAGTTTGAATCTAACAACTACCAACATACAGCTATGTTACAGAATTGGTAGCCAAAATAAAAAATCTAGAGGAATTTTTCTTAAACTAAATAATTATGAAACTAGATAAAATATTTACATTAAAAAGAAGCTATTAAAAGGTACAGGCATAGTAATTAGAGAAGACCTAACAACTCTTAGAGTTGAACTTCTGAATGAGGCAATCACAAAATTTGGATTAAAGCAAGTATGGACGAATACAGGAAAAATATACAAAAACACAAAAAACAAAGTTTGCATTTTAAGAAATAAACGAGATCTAGAAGAAATCACTCAGCACCAACCCTAATTAACAGAAGCTTGTTCAATATTATATTTTCTGTTGTTTCAAAATGTTTATTATCTGCTATATTTTCATCAAATTTTAAACTGTAGCTACATTTTTTTCTGATTAAGAGTTTTCTTATTTCATAGTTGAACTGATAGATACCCATACCTATGCTCGAATTGATTGATGCTTTAGATAATAGTCAAAAAATAGAGACAAGAATATGTGATACCTTTATTAATTATTTTCAAGAGAGGTCAGATGGCCGTGGGCACAGTCTTGGTGTTATCCATTTTAATATTAGAAGTTTGAGAAAGCATTTACATGAACTTTTAGTATATATACAAATGGTTAATGATGCTTTGGACATAATAGTCCTCTCTGAGACAGGGACAATTGACTCGTTAAGCACTTTTTCAATACCTAATTTTACACAATATCATAATAAATCAATAATTAATAAATGTGATGTGCTAATGATATATATAAAAAATAATATATCAGCAAATGTGATAATTATACCTATAAATAATAGCAACTTTTTGAGAGTTACATTTACAATTTAAAAATTTTATACACCTCATTAGTGGAATCTATTATAAGATATTGTATCCCAGCCTGGGGCGCAGCTTACAAAACAGCATTAAATACTTTACGAATTGCTCAAAATTTAATCTTAGAAATAATATTTAGGAAAGATAGGTTATTATCCACTCAACATTTATATCAAGTATGCTAAATATTAGATTAATATATATTTATCAATGTTTAATAAGAATATTTCATGAACAAAAAACGTATACACAAATACAGCAAACTAGAGATACTCGGTCAAAATTTAATTTAAATATTGTTGAATTTGTTAGTAAAACAGCGACTCAAAACTCATTTCTATTCTTCGGCCCAAAAATCTTTAACGTTCTTCCAAAACAAATTAAAGAAATAACCAATTTTAAAAGTTTCAAAAAAGAAGTCACTATTTATATCAAAAAGTACCCTGATACTTTTTCTTTTTACTGAATTTACATTGTTTTTTATTCTTAATTGTAATTAGATAATCACCAGGACCTTGCTTAATGGTCATCTGATCAATCACTCTTGAATCTTAAGATAGTAAAGTTAAAGCTATATAATTTAAAATTGTTACATTGCCTTAAATAAATATTACATTTTTTAAAATTTGTTAAAATGATTTGCAGGACTAAAAGCCACAAGACAGGCCACTTAGCCTATCGTGGTTATAAGCCCTGTAGGACATTAGTATAGAATTATGTAAAATATTTTTTTTATATGTAATATTATTATTTGCAATAAATTGAATTAAATTGATTATTCTGGACATTCTGGACCTTTTCCAAACAAAGATTAAACTTTCACTAACAATTCCTTTTCTTCATTTACTGATAAGGATGGAGAACTAAACAACAGCTTAAAAATACCAAAATGTTCTAAACTAATTTAATGGGCCCGTTCACTTTCATTTTTGAATGTGAATTAATTATATATTTATAAAGATATTAAACTCTTTTGTCTGGTGGTACTTTTTCCGTTAAGATATTTTTGCTAGAAGTAAGGGAATTCCCATAAAATTCTTTCAGTGACTCATTGCGTCAGAAAATCCCTAATTCCCTTCAGGTCTCGTATCGGTTAATAGTTAAAAGGGCGCGGTTGTCGGATGTATCATTGCACCATCATTCCTCTTCTGCATTTATTAAAGAAATTTACATGATAAAAATATATTATTATTTAAAAATAATGTGTTTATATTTTCAGATAAAGCTGGAAGCCCTACCTTTTTTAAATTTTAATAAAAACAATTAGTATTACTCAAGCGGAATATTACCAGATCGAAATTTTATTTGAGAAAATGTATCTGGTAAACGTGACAACGTTGTAAGTACTTCTAAATAGTATTGTCTACACACACTTCTAGAAATAAATGCAACGTTGCCACGTTTACCAAATAAATATTGCAAATCAAATTTCTACTTTTTGATTATGGTCTGGTTAATTTTCAGTCTGAGTAACAATAATTGTTTTAATTAAAAAGTAAAAAATAAGCTCCCAGCTTTAAATCTGAAAATATAAGTTCATGATTTTTAGAAAAATAATGGAATTTTACTATTTAAATTACATATATAAATGCAGAAATGCTATATTAGGGATACTTCCGACAACCCCGCCGTCTTTAAGCATAACCGATACGAGACGTGAACGGAATTAGGGATTTTCTGACGCAATGAGTCACTGAAAGAATTTTATGGGAATTCCCTTACTTCTAGCAAAAATATCTTAACGGGAAAAGTACCACCAGACAAAAGAGTTTAATATCTTTATAAATATTTAATTAATTCACATTCAAAAATGAAAGTGAACGGGCCCATTCTAGAAATATCCTCTTGTGAACTGTAAATTAAAGTTACAATGTTCTGATAATATGATGATGTATTGTTAAGTCCATGACAATTTCCCATTTAAAAAATTTTTCCTTTTATATAGGTACTTTCTTTAATTGCTCTTAAAGAAATGTAATATTTTTATCCAAAATTAACAGTGAAAATAATCCTGTTGGCAGTTAATACGTTTTCAGCTGTATTTTTGTATTTAAGTTTTTATTGTAATTTTTAGATGCTCCATGGCGTAAATTTGCAACCGGCTTTCTTGCAACTCAAAAATGAAGGTCTTCTTTACTTATATAGAGGTATGCTGCCGCCTATGTGCCAAAAAACTCTATCATTGTCAATAATGTTTGGGATTTATGAAGAAGTAAAAAGAACTTTACATGACAATGGCTGTAATCTATACACAGCAAAAGCCATAGGAGCACTAGTTTCAGGCACAACAGAGGCAATTTTAATGCCATTCGAGAGAGTACAAACCATTTTAGCAGATACTAAATACCATGAGAATTATAGAAACACTTTCCATGTATTTAAAGAATTACGACAATATGGAGTCAGGGAATATTACAGGGGTTTGGTGCCTATTTTATTTAGAAACGGACCATCGAATGTAGGATTTTTTATAATTAGAGAGGAAATACAAGAAAAGATGCCAAAATATGAAACCGAGATATTGAGGACGTCTGTTGAGTTTTTTTGTGGGGCCATGATTGGTGTAGTGCTTTCCAGTATCTTTTATCCATTAAATGTTTTGAAAATTGCAATGCAGTGTAAAATTGGCGGTTCATTTGAAAATCCATTTAAAATTCTATTTAAAATTTATAAGGAAAGAGGAGGAAAAATTAGGTATCTTTATTATGGCGTTCAGACAAACTGCACAAGAGCTTTCCTCAGCTGGGGTGTAATGAATACTGCTTATGAACATATAAAAGAAATTATTAATTAATTACTTGGACATTCTACAATAAATCAATCACTATTATAAGCCTTTGATAGCATTGATTTGGTTCATAAATAGATAAGTGACTGCATATTATACAGGGTGTTAAAAAAAAGTGTCACAAAATGAAATGGTGAATAGTATGACCCAAAAAAAAGTCTTAATAAATATATGACCGCAAATTAACGGTTTCGGAGATATGGACCATTTTGTGTTTATAACAATTTTTTATTATTATAAAAAAACAATGATATCTATAAACAATCAATAACAACATAGAGTTAAATGAGATGTTCAAAGTGCCCTCCCTCCATTTCAATGCATTGCCATTTGCACGACCGTACATAAAATGCATGTCAGCTAATTCAATATTAGTGTAAACAGGCATAACGAAAATTTATAAAATTATTCACCCACAACAAAATAATAACTGTAAATAGTATCTATAAAAAAACATCGGTAGACTCCGATAAGAAAAGCAAGTTTTTGAGAATGAAAAAAGATAATCAAAAAATGATACAAAACACAAAACACTCCGTATCTCTGAAACCATTCATTTGCGGACATATGTTTATTAAGACTTTTCTGCATATTTTGGCCCATACTACCCCCCGTTTTATTTTGTGACACTTTTTTTTAACACCCTGTATATGTTTTACTTTCTTATGTATGTGCTAGAGAACGCACCTAAAATCATAAATAAACATGTGTAAATCCCACATGAGACATAATTAGTTTGTTAAGTGTATTTATTTTAATATTATATAGCCCTTGTATCAAAAAACTATTGGAATTTTCTGTAAATAAATTAGACTAAGACGAGTTTAAAATAAGATTTAGATGAAATTATTTTATACTTATTTGAAAGGTTTTTACAGCCTAAGGAACAAAAAATGCCTATTTTAAGTAAAAAGAACCAAATCCATGATGTCAAATTAAAATAAAATTTTTGATTGATTTGAATTTGGAATTACTCAATGCAAATTACCTCGAGAGTTACTTAAATGGTTTTAGGGCTTAAAAAAACTATATTTTTAATGTTTTAAAACTGAAATTGTGGAAATGTTAAATTTGAAAAGTTTACTTTATTGCAGAATTAATTGGTGATTGAAATTAAATTTTCTAGTATTAATTAGGAGAGTATTACAATTTTTCTTATTGAAGATTTTACTGTTAGATACCACAGAACAGAACATACTGACATAAATGAAATAGCATTTTTAAATAATAAACTAAAAGTCGTAGGTGAACTTGGAAAAAATGTCCTTTATAATAGGTATCTGTAAATAGAAACATGTTAAAATTTATTTGTTTTAATGATTATATTTAGATAAAAAAAGTGACAACAAATTTTTTCACATCTTCAATTCTAAAATGTAAATTTTATTTCTCTACGTCATTTAAAATAGAATATATTAAGTTTTAAAATAATTTTTTGTTATGTGGAATTTGAATTAGTCAAGAAAAACAATTTTAACAATTTTCAGGAAATAGTTTTCTAAATTATATATATTTTTAGAGGAAAGTACGCTCAGAGACTTGTTAAATTTTTTAAAATAAGAGTTAATATGTACAAATGTATATTTTTTTATCTATTTTTTGTTGATATAATACATATTTATCATTTATAAGTTTAATTTGAGTATGTGAACAAAATTATGAATTAAGAATTGTGATAAATATAAGTTTTTCAATTGTATTTTGTGATTTTTTATCTTATCGTACATGCTTACTCAGGATAAGGTACTTAAAATATTTGAGCGTGATAAAATTAATCTATTGGATGAAATAGAATGTGTTTCTATTAATGCAGAAGGTAATTAACATATCTAATAAAGAATAACATTTATCTATGTAAAAAATGTGTTGCATAAATTATGTAGTTACAAATTACCAATTAATTGCTTATACTTATAGTCGGTTTAGTCGTTTTAACCTGTCAGATTAAAACAAGAAAACTGACAATTCCGAAGCAAAAGCGGATGATTAAAACGCACCTATTAAAAATATTGCGCCAAGATGTAGGCAACACGTAATAAGGGTTCAAAATGGCGGAGTTTTCTATCTCCTTGTAAAAGGCACTCAGAAAGCTGCGCAGTGCGACCATTCTCCGTATAGTAAAAGAAATTCAAAGTATGTGGCTACTACAAAGTTAAATTTCAAAAAGCCCGCTCGTGGCGGCCATATTGAATTTTAGTACCACTCCAATTTGATAGATGGCAGCACATCGACTCAAAATTTTACCATTGAGTTTCCCATCTATTCACATTAGTAATCTATGGTTATATCTCTGTATAGAATGATCGACACTATCGAACGCTTTCGCTAAATCAAAGAAAACATAAAGTACTGCTTTATTTTCATCTAGTCATTTATGTTTTTAGTTAAATGTATAATAGCGTTTTCCGTTGAAACTCCCTTTCCGAATCCAAATTGTTTATCAGAAATTAAAGATTATATTTTCAAGAAGTCGACAATCCTGTTTTTATCTCGGTTTTTTAACTTTTTTGTTACGCATGAAATTAAAATAATTGGCCTGTAGTTAATTATTTCTTTTCTATATCCCAGGAAGTTTTTTAATTCCTGCGCACAAACGTTCAATGTCTAAGTAGGATAGAAATGTTTATTTATTAATTATTTTTATTGTATTTGTTCGTACACTGTTATTTAAATATGGAATAAACATTATTATTTATTAAAAAACTAAAAAACCGTAATTATTAATAAAATCATTAATGTGATAAAAGAACAATTGAAAAATTAAAATATAACAATAATTAAAATTGAAAAAAGAATGAGAGAATAATCAAAAATTTATGGAATCAATGAATATAAACAATAAATTTGAGTAATTTAAAGTAATTACAAACTAAATAGTTAATGATTTAAGAATAAATATAAATAATAATAAATCAAATAGATATAACAGAGTTCAACATAAACAGGGTGTAATTTTTATTCTCACTCTCCTTAATATTAACATCAAGGAGCAGTGCCGGATTTATATTTTTTATGAGTGTAGGCCACTTTATTTCCACCGCCCCATGTACCTTTCTAAAATAATAATTTTTTCATTTGTAGAAAGTAAGGCACTAAAGTTAAATAAACGAATGAATTAGTCATTAAAAAAGAGCGTAAAAAAGGAACAAGAATTACAATTTTTTACGGGACTTTTTAATAGCAAAATCATCATCATAGTTTATGGTGTTCATTATCTCTGCTTCTATATAGAAAAGGGCTAAAGAATTCATTTTTTCTTCAGACAATGAAGACCTTTGATAATTTTTCACGTGTTTTGAACAGGAAAAACTCCTTTCCCATGAACAATTTATAGCCGGAGTGGAAAGTGCGATGCGGAGAGCTATATTCAAGTTAAGATAAACATTAGACACAGATTGATTTCTCAAAAACGTTGAGAGACTGAGTAGTGCGTTTGATACAGGCTTCACTGCACACTCTGCAGTTTTATTAGAGGAAAAGTGACTGTGAAAATGCACATATTCTTGAACCAAATCGACGTAATATAGATAAAATAGGTACAATAACAGTAGGTACCTAGGATTGATAATTTTCGATAGGAATGAGTTTCTATAGGGATTTAACGTATTAGTAAAAAAACCATGAGAAAACCAGTGAACTTGTATGACTTTTATCCTCTGAAATTGAGTGAGCGTCCTCTGAAATCTGCCGCCCCTAGGACGCTGCCGCCCCTAGGCCGCGGCCTACGCGGCCTATTTACAAATCCAGGACTGTCAAGGAGGTTGCTCTGATGACAATGACACCACTTTATGTATATATAGTGTATTAGTACTATAATAGTATATATATTTCGGTCGGATGATCTTGTATTAATTATTATACAATTTATAGATTTTCGTAATATTTATTACTGACAACCGTTTTTTGATTGGTCATCAAAGTAAAAAAGAATATCCTACAGGGTGAAATTAAAAAGTAAGATATTGAAATCACCACAATCTTAAACGATCTGGCAACTCTAGATTCATTTTCATCACCCATTTTCTCCACCTTTGGCTTTTAGGTTTTTTTGAGAATACCACTTTCTATGGAAAAGTAAAAATGTAATGAATTTATTCCTCTGGGAGTTTCAATTTCTTTTGTTTTCAAGCATACGCCCCAGGAATCTATATGTCCCAACTTTTGAAGACACACTGTATTTATATCCATAACTAGGTTAATGGAGTAAAATATACATTAATGTTTACATTTTTGTTACATTTGAGTTTGGAACACTTGGTTTTCTACTTCTCTTAAGCTGACAGGACCCACTGGGCAGAATTCTGACTGAATGTGTAGCACTCCAGAATCCAAGGGCACTATACCTAGGACCATATCAAGTCAAATAGAAGAGGGAGATTTACCTAACTTAAAGCCACTCCAAATCCTACAGTTCCTTGAAAAAATCGGTTTGGAAGGGTCGTTATATAGGCATCGAGATATTTTCTTGCTGCATTAGCTACAGAAGGGGGGCACAATAAATCTTTTAGGTCGCAGTGTACTAATACCCCATTCCCAACATAACATAACTTAAACTAATTGAAGAACATTCCCTTGTGAAAATTAAGGAAAGATGGTATGAAACATAAGCTGCAGACTTGTCAGGGAGCTTTCAAATTATCCTAACAACACTACAGCAAACAAATACTTGACTTTGACCAGACATAATATGCGCCTGATTACAGGCATTCTGACTGGTCATTGGCAAGTATAGAGAAAGTAAAAGTTGAAAAGTCTTTTGGTAGGTAGAGAGGGGGTAAACGTCAAACCACGTCGGCCGGCTCCGAGAATTTCACAGTAATGTTTACCTGCCAGTGTCGTTTCATAGAATAAGTAATTTTAAATTGTTATCGGCGGAACCGGACAATCGCATGTATTTATGGATTATAAATAATTATTAAACATGTATTATAATATTCAAATTATAATTTTACAAAATTTCAGCAGCTATTCACAATTTATTAAACTATTTACTCGAAATTGTTATT